AAACATAGCAAAAAATCAAAATGTATCAGTTTACTTACAGCAAATGTCCTTCATTTATAGAGAAAGCCAATCTTATGTGAACCAACCAACAGGTTTTTCTCATTTAACACCGCATTTTTCCAGTGGAGCAAATGGTGCTTTTCCATTCTTGCAAATGGTTCTTTCAAAATTATTCTGAATGGTGCATAGCAGTTTCTTTAGTAAATACTTTCATGTAGTCATCCAGGGTATTGCGAGTAGTGAAAAGCTCCAGTTTTTGATTCTGAAGAACTGAATTTTCCTGCCACAGCCTGTAACTGGGTTGAAGCAAAGAAAGCCTCTTTCCTCTGTTGGTCCTTCCCTGTGCTGGCCTGTTTGTCTTCAGGGCATTACCGCTTTTCTCTGTTATTGGTCTTCAATTTTAGTGTCTAATGCCTCATATAACTGTGCTAAAATCCACCAAATCAAACCAGTGTCTTCACACTGATTTTCATATGGTAACTTTTAGTCTTTTTCCTGCTTTTTCAGTTTCCTGTTTTGTTGTAAGGCTTTTGACATATGCAACAGGAAGAGAGAACTGTCCCTAGGAAGACCTTATGGCAAGGTACCTATGCTGCTGGACAGTTTGGGAACTGGTGGAAGAGCATAGATGCTACTTTTGACCATTTTTAGATTGACGTCATTTGAAGCTGACATGTCCTTTTTGGCTTATTAATAGGATCTGTGTCCTGTCCTAAATTAAAGGAAAAATGAACAAAAAAAGGCTGCCTGGCAGTAGCTGCCAACGTGTACAGTGATGTACACATACAATTTCTGTGAAGTTCCTGTCTCTGGGTTTAGTTTGCACAGGAAAAACAGAAGTTCATAAGCCCTGCATTTTTGTACAAAGCTAATTGCAATTGAAATAACCATATCTTCACTTAAAGTTATGTATCAGTGCCAGGTCCAGAGATTCTATAAATGTTTTTTAAAACTTTGCTGGACAGAAGTGAGATTCACTTGTAGAAATTATTAGGTTTGTCCCCTTTTCCTTTCCTCCTTCCAGCGCATTTCTTTTTCTCTTTGCCTCTTTTGCTTTAATTTTTTTTAATTCTTATTTTCATGGGAAGCCCCAGAACTGTTGAACATCCTGCAGTCTTCCTTGTCTTTTGACTGTTCTTTCCAACCAGCCGGTGCGCACTGTTTCGATACTGTTTCGATAGCTATTTTATTTAACAGTACTCCCCTGATCTAAAACTAAACCTGAAATCATCATCCCACACTTCAGTGTCATTCTTCAAGTTACTTGCTCAAAGAATTCTTTTCCACATAAGAGTCCAAGGGAGGTATATGCCATGTTAAACTTTTTTTTCTGTTTTAAAGGAAATGTCAATAACAGCCAAGTTACTGACAGACAAGTGAGACTGTCTTCATATATCCAGACATTTCATTCAGAATTACATTTCATCTCATAGATGTGTTTAAAATGGTCTATGCAGTTTCCATTTCTTTGTGTACAGAATTATGGGCTGTAGACAGCGACTTCTGGGCCTTTTAGAGCTGCTGTTCAGAAGGTAAATGGGAGAGAAATATTCCGGAAAAAGGAACCCAACCATAGTGTGTGTTGTGCTCTTTATGCATTTTCCAGCTGGTTTTGCTTCTAACCTTTAACGTTCCTCATGGGACGCTGATGCAAATCTGCATTCACTTTTTTTCTCTTTGTGTATAATACACAAGACCTAAAGGAAAGCAATAATTTGCAGTATTAGGAAATGTGGCTTGGTGTCCCTGTCCCCAGTGTAAACGTGCACATTTAAATATGAATGAAAGTGGGCCAGCATCGCCTTGTAGCTGAGGCACAGACTGCCTGTTCTTTCTGGTTGAAGTACTGTATGTTGCCGGGTTTTTTTTTCCTTTGCTGAACAACACCTACCATATGGGCTGAGCTTCAGCCAGTCAACTACTAAATTACAAACACTCTTTTGACTGTAAATTGAATGGAAAAGGATGACAGTTATTGCTTTCCTCCTGTGGCCCCACCACAAGAGCACCTGCAGTCAAAAGCTGGCATTCATGCTCTGAAAGGCACCACATGCTTCTATTGTTAGCCGAGCAGTGTCTAACCTTGGCTTTGCTTACCCGGCTCCTATCGCAGTGAGAAGATTACAAAGATAAGAGCCTCGCTTTTGAACACAAGCTCACTTACTGACATGTCTCAGCACTTATCCACAGTATTTTGTTGCCACTGAAGGAAGCGCAGCTACGCTTAGGAAGATGGCTATCTGTGGTACCCTTCACAGAGCAGTCTGTGACTTAGGCACGTTTACCTTATTTATTTTGAAGTTCGTTATGAAATTGTAACTGCTGTCTCTGAAAGTGTCAAAGTGGCTTTTTCAGCTTGCTTGCAGGATTGCCTGGTTTTCCAGCCTGAATGCCAGAATAAAACGATTCTGTTTTGTTTTGTTTTGTTTGTTTGTTTTGTTTTGTTTTTTTTTTAACATGGAAAGGTAGTGCAGGATGTGACCATCTCTGCATCCCCAGGGCAGGTTTGAACCAGAAGCCGCACAAAAGTGTACAAAGAGGATTTGAGAGGGGAGTGATGTCTGATGAACTGGGCAATCCATGAAGGGAGACAGCTGCTAGGCCAAGAGAGCTTCCTCGTTCCCCAGTCCGCAGTGTGACAGCTGAGCTGGGGAGCCGGCCGTGAGCAGCCTGCAGCTGCTGCTGTCAAGGGCCCACCAGCCCTTGTGTTCTAGGAAGGCTGGTGAATCCGTCATCTGCTACATCCATTAACTCTTCCTTTCCTAGATACGTATGTGTTGTTGTTGAACTAGTCACAATGTTTATTCAGTCTGCGATTTAAAATTATTGGAAGGAGTGGGTGGCTTATTAATTAGGGCATTTTCTTTTATCTTCAGTGGCCTAAAGCTATGCGTCTGGCTAAGGTATTAGTGTTTTTGTTGAGCTCCCCAGTGGATTGGTAGATGTATTACACATTTGCCTTATGGCTTTTATTCAAAGGCTCCTTAAAGTTCAATGCCTACAACCATAAACTCTGCTCTTGGATCACTAGAGGGTAGTCATTAGGTCAAGGCTGAGTGCACTGAAGAGAGTATCCAGTCCTAAGGAATTTATGAGGTGACCAAATAACATTCAGAATGTTAATTTACAGTTACTGCTTCTGACTTAAAACTGTACCTATGGAGGCCTTAAATATTTCTGCCAACATAAAAACCTCTAATAGTTAAACACAACCAAATAATTCTAACATTAAGTCAGCTGTGCAATTCTGATAATTATCTGACAGCATATAACATCAAATAGGTCGTGTATTTTTATACATCATATGGTGTAGTCGCCCTTCTCCCCAAAAGTGAGCACTGGCTGTTCATCCCTGGTTTCTCTTCCAGACCTGGACCTTCTTTTAGCATTCAGGTGTGTAACAACCGTAACTAACATGTCTGGAAATTAATTCCCGGTAGTTATTGAGCTCAGAATATGAAAATTAAATGTCTTTTATGGTGATTTTTTTTTTTAGTATATTCATTTGGGCCCTTGTTTACTATGGTCTGTGCAGTTTTGAACATTAATACCCCAGGTTTTCATTACCTGTACCATTTACTAATATTTAGTCTTCACTGTTTCTTTGTTAATGACTCTAAACATTTTATAGATAAAGCAGGCATATGCTTTTAATTTTCAATAGAACACCTAGGTTTGTTATTATTATTGTTATTTTTTGTATTATTTAAAGCAGGTTTGGAAACATGCTGTGGCATAGCTGGCAACTGGAAATCTTGTAAGCTGATTCACAGCTAATGTTGCACCTTGTCTCTCATGGTGAGCCTGTTTTTCACATCTTCTCTAGATTCTTCAAAAGTATTTTAAATGTGGCATATCATCTAGGAAGACAAGTCCAAGTTTGGGATAGCAATACAATCGTTTATATTTTAAGCTGCCCTTACATTGCTAGCTTTTCAGTGTATGCTTCCTGACAGTTTCTCCATGAGTATCTCCAAAATATATTGACTGACGACACTCCAACTGTTTTTTCTTCTAGTGCCCTGCACAAAAACTCCTTTTTTGAATTATATGGGAAGGTGAATTGTTGCAAAAATGTCTTCAGTGTTTGTCCACAAAACACTGTAGAGAGGATAGGGGATGAAGAGCAGAGAGATAAGGTATGGGATTGTGCAGACGTAAACATGTACAGGAGAGTGTGAAAATTTTCCAATGTGGATAAAATGCATGTCTTCACTTCTGCTTTTCTCCAGCACCCATTGCCCCAGTCCATACCCACAGAATCACAAAATGGTTAAGGTTGGAAGAGACCTGGAGGTCATCTTGTCCACTCCCCTGCTCAACCAGGGACACCCAGAGCAGGTTGCCCAGGACCAGTTGTGGTCAGGTTTTGAATATCTTAAGGACACCTCCCTGACAGATCCGTGCATTCGCATGCCCGTTCTTGCTAGAATTGCCAAAATCTTTCAGAAAGGAGATTTCTACAGAGAGACATCCTAAGACCTGGCGGACCACAGAAGGTTTTTCATGCCAGTTTTGCCTATAATCTAAAATTTCACTTAAAAATATATATATGTGTGTGGAGTGGGGGAACAGAATTCCTAAATAAACAGCAAAATGTACATTTTGGGAGAAAAGCATGTATAAATGTCAACATCTGTTAGGCTTGATCACACCTACAAACAAGTTTCTCCTGTACAAGGACTCCTTAAACCTTAGAAATTCTTTGAAACATGCAAGTAGATTCAGAAATTCATAATTCTTCTGGAATCAGATGCTTAAAGAGTGATATTTGTTTCTTAAATACACTCCAGATACAATATTATGAAGGACAAATTCCGTTCCTACCTGCTGTCTTTTGATAAACTCAATGTGAGCTCTTATAAAATATGCCCATTCTGGGTTTGTTTGCTCAGAAGTGTTTTGGAGTTACATTCATTTTTCATGAGTCATGTGTTACCATCGCTTACCTTAAGTCAAGCAGCTGCTTTTATATCCTGTTTTTCTTTTGCTAGCTCTGTGCCTGGTATGGGACTTGTTGCTGCAGTCATTCTGCTTTGGACATGCCAGTTACACAAACAGAGAAAGGGATAGGTGTTGCTTCTTTTGGACTGTGTGAAAGTGGTGCTGGCAGCACAGAGAGACATGAGCTGAAGTAACTTTCTTCCTTTAGAAGAATAAAAATTTGAAAATAATAAAGATCTGGATTGCATCTAGAGGTAAGGTGAATTTTTCTTCATAATCTAGAATATGAATCCTTGCTTCTTCGTTCTCCTAAATTCTAGAAAATCTGATTTGACTTTGATTATGGGTGGACTGAGTTTTTTAAAGAAAAAAAAAATTAAATGGGTGGTTTCTTTGATATGCTGAAAGAAAATAAATATATTCAAAAGGGTTGAGTATTTAACCCCAGGGAAGTGCTAAAGAAAAGCTAGACAAATTCTTTTACTGATTTCACAAACCCCTTGAGGGACAGGTTCAGCAGAGTTTCCCCATTCACTTTACTGACACTTAGAGTAATCACAGAGTTCTCTAAGCTCCTGTCAGGGCTGCTCTGTGGAGAAGAGTTACACAGAAAGAGTCATGCAATCACAGGAGCTGAAAGTCAGAAGGATACAAAGGCATGCTCTGCTGCCTTGGGAGGAGGGGAAAAAACCCTAAACCTCTAGCAAGTTACACCCACACGGATGATTCCCAGAAGGCTTTGCTTTTATTTCTGCTTGTTCTTGGGGAGGATTCTCCTGCCTTTGAACAGTCTTTGAACAATCACCAGCCTCTGAACAGTTTTCTTCTCTGGCCTCCCCAAAACAACTCTCAGGGAATTAGAGCAAATAAGTGAGTAGCCCACAAAAGTCCATCACCTAGCAAAACCCTCTAGGATCTCCTATTTTAACCAGATGTTACCTCCATCACCCAACTCACTATGACAAATATTTCCTCGATATTTTTTTAAGGTGTAAAATACAGAGCTGGAAGAAACACTAAGAGGTTAATGAAATCATTTGTATTTGCTGTCTGGTTGGCACAGTGCAACCCAGCCAGGAGCTATCCCTGACTTAATGCTTCAAATAACCTCCTGCAGTTTTCTGTTATGAAACAGACCTGATCTTGGAAAGAAAGAGTGATTTGATAAAGAAGATGGCATGGGAGGCTCTAACCCTCCACGTTTCATAATGGGATGTCAATAACCTACCAGTGACACCATTGTTTCCTCAACTCTCTTCCCTTTGTGTTTACAGCATTTCTCCTGACAGCTGAGAAGGAACAAATTTCCAAGGGCTCAGGTTTTTTTCAGAAGCACCCAGAAGTCTGGCACCTTAGCCTGACCCTGTAAGTCTGCAAAACTGTCCTGGAAATTAAATGGAAACAGACTCTCACTTGAGAGTCCAGCTCCCTCCTACTCCTGGTTGGGCCAGAAACACTGTGAGAACAGGCAGATTTCCTACCAGCATTCTGGCACCTTCCTATCCAATCCCAGCCAAAACCAGAAAGTGTTTAAAAAAAAAATCTATAGGAAGTAGGTGGAGGGGAGAGCACTTGATATTTTTAAAAGCCAAATCTTTTCTGACTTTTGAGAAGAGAGTTTTGGGTCAGTTACTTCATCTGACTGGTTCTTCTACTCCTCTCCTAATGCCTGTGTTTACTGCAGAGCTTTGTGGCTTCCTTCTTCTGGTCCCCTTGGTTATCTGGGTTGGCATGGTGCCTGGGTTCTGCTTCCCTTCCTCCTCATGCACCTTCATGTCCCCAGCCACTGCATCCTGCAAAAGCAAGTCATGGGGATATCCAGCTACTGAGATGCAGCCTTTGCAGACTGTTGTGCTCAACCCTCACTCCTTTGCCTTCAGTTTGGCCTGTGGTTTTGGGTTTTCCTCTTTTTTTTCTTTTTTTTTTTTTTCATTTTGGCTGCCCTGAAGTGCATAAAGAGCTGCTGACAACCCGTGGAAAACTCAGAAAAACATTCCATGCAGAGCTCCTGCTTGCCTTCAGCATCCTTTCCTGTGCCACGTTCATTTTTATTAGGGGTAGCTGAGAAAACAGGATCATTGGGCTTTGGCTCATCTGCTCCTGCTGCTTTCAGACAATGTGTAGGCCTGGACCTACCTGATCCTATCGCAGCAGAACCAGATGGAGCGCAGTCTCCCATGCTTCCAGCCCAGCTTTTTAGCCCTATGATTGTTTCCTCTAGTTCCCCAGCAGGAACTTGCTCTTCAGTCAGCTGCACAAGCCAACTGCTTCCAGCTTTCCCTAGGTTTCCTTCTCTCTAAGCTAATCCTTCTAAGCTCAGCTCCTTCATTTATGACTGTTCCCACTGTCTGTGAGATCCCTTTCTCCATTGTCTGATCTGACAGCAAGCCTCCAGTGTTTCAATACCCAGACTTCTATTCCTACTAGGTAAGTAGTGTTTTTGTAGGGAGTTAGGGAGGCATTAGCTAATGTGAGCATAACTTGGTCCTTGCCAGCTCCTCAATTTGATCGATGCTATGCTAACTCACAGGTAGTAGTAGGCACCTAATCGTAAGCCAAAAAGAAATACACCTAGCAGCTCAGAGAAAAGTGATGTGACAAACTGAGCCCACCCTCTGTCAGGCTGCCTTATGTGACAAGCCTGGAGAAGAGGCTTCTGTCCTAGTTAAGGAATTTCAGATGATTGCTGGTCCATCTTTAATTAGGAGTGTTTGCTAAGATTTCTTCGAATGCAACTGTCACAAGCAGATCAGTTTGGCTGTAGGCTGACACAGCATGTGATGAACATTGTAGCCCACCCCTTTTTTGAATACTACCAAGCATCCTTTTAAAGACCTTATGCAATATCTGTGTAGATCTGCTCCCATTAAAAGAAAGGAAATTTTGCTACTGTGTAGGTTGAGCTCAACAAACTCAGAGTTTTGAAAATTTTGTCCCCAGTTTCTTGGAACCACATAGACTGCACCTACCTGTGCATGCTTGCCTGTGCTGCGCAGCCATGTGTCACTTAGGAACTTTGCTTTAAGGTACAGGTAACACTTCCATGGCAACACAAAAACATCCTAAAGGAAGAGAAGTCTAAAGGTACACTGGGAATGATTTGAGAATGAGGAGCTTTTTCTCTGAAAGCCAGTTGGCTGTTTTAAATACCAAACTTGTAAGCAAGTGGCCTTGTCTGTGTTTCTTCCTACCTCACAATATTTGTTTCATGCACTGGAACTGGTCTTTGCATTCCAGGTTTCTGGTAGAACCTACTTTATTCCATTATTAATAACTATGTTGGACTTTATTTTGAAAACTTCTTCTCTATGGACTCCCATCTCTCAGATTTCATTCCAAACAGTTTTAAAGATTGCAGCCTCTGCAGGAGTCCCTACAGATCTTATGACTGGATCTTATGACAACAGCTTCTTCCATGTTGTTGATTAATCTTTGTTCTCCTGAAGGTTAAGAAGTTTGCACAAATAAGAAAGCCTTCTCTATTACTCAATAATCAGCCCAATTTACATCCCATCCCTAACAGTGGAAAATTTGACTGTTGAGGGCCAGAAGAATCTAACCGTGTTACCAAAGGCATTATGCAAGACTAAATGAAGTTACATTTTCTTCAGACTATTCAGATCTCTGCATAATTTACTTAGTAGTTTAATCATCTTTTTGAACAGTCCTTACTCTCGGAAAGGTCAGAAGTAGCCTAAAAATAGTCACCATCCTCTGATGGATGCTTTGCTGGATATGAGATTTGATTCCCAATAGACAAGATTTTTCACATCATGAAACTGTAGTTATCCTGGCAATAATTAGCACCCTCGTGGATGGTCTGATACAGAAATGCAAAGCCTGACTTCTTGCTTTCAGAAAGTGCTATTAATATGGTAAGCTCTTTGGGGCAGGGACTGTCTCACATTATGAATGCTTCATACAACTGAATCTTGAATTGGTTGAGGCCTGAAGGCACGAATCTAATTCCAAGAATAGTATGATTGAATGGATGTGGAGACTAAGAAACTTTCTCAGTCCTAGACATGACATCAGAGCAGGATCGAGGTGGAAGCGGGAGAACTTGTACTGTGCAGGCTATCTGCTGTTTGAATGGAAACAGGACTTCATTCTCTAGATTTATCAATGGGTCACTGTTAATGCTTACCCTCAGTCCTCTTAAAGTTTAAGATCTGTCTGAGTACAGGAATTGCTCTTAAAACCTTGAAATAGTCTACTTCCTCCTTTGAAATACCAACAAGAGAAAAGTTTTACTTCATTTGATTCTGCAGTGAACATTGTGGTGGCTGTCAGTTGTTAGTAGAGAGGGTACATGCAGTAACAAGTGCCAAGTGCATTGCAAGCTTAGGATTAAGGCTTGAGAAGACATTAGGAGAGTCAGATCTGTTCACAGGAAATGAAGATTTTTTTCTATACTTGTTTTGACTAAAAGAATAAAATCCAATCTTATATAACTGCTTGTTTCTTGATCAGGACATGTAGGAGAAACGAAGACAGACCTGGCAGGCAACCTTATTAACATTAATCTTAAGAGTCAAATACCCAGACGCTAACTGGATCCAGAAAAGTGATAAATATCTTTCTGCTTTTAAATTGAAGCATGGCTATTTCTATTAGCCAAGTTCTTACCGTTCACTCATTGCAAAGCAGAATAGAGCATTAGTAATGAGGAGCTGAGATGGCCCGGAAACTCCCACTGTGCCCCCTCCAGTCTTCTGTATCACTGCACCTCAAGGTCGTATTCTTTGAAGATCTTGACTAATGTCCTCACCGGCTCGAAGTTGTAATAATGTTTCTGATACTTATTATTTAACCTCATCTTTCTAAAGCTGCTATTTCTTTCCCTTCTTCCTTTGCACCCAGCTTCATGTATGGTAGGAGGAAATCACGAAACCCACCTAACACTTTTTTTATCCTGCACAGATGGGAAAGTTCATGCTTGACTCCATAAGCTGACCTGGTTGGTTCAGACACCTGGTCTGACAGCTATGCTTCCACCACCCAGTGGGGAAGGCAACTTTCAGACTGAAACTGGTCAGAGCCAACTGCTCGCTCATCCCTCCTGTTCCACCAGCACAGCTGTACTGGGACAGACCAGAGGTCTGCCTGCGCCAGCATCTTGTTTCTGATGGAGGCCAAACGTTTATATGTATATATAAACATACATATAGGACAATAAAGTAAGTATGAACTGATTTTGCTTTGCTGACTTTTCCAAGCCACGTCATTGTCTTAAAATATGCTCTGTTCTTACAGTCTTCTGGCTCTTGTCTTTCCTTTGTATCTTCTGAACAGAAGGAAAGGGAAATGTTCTAATCTCCTCTTAATCCAACCAAATACTTGTAAAACTAAAAGAGGATGTATGACCAGAATGAATGTTTTAGACCTAGATGAGCGGTTTGAGCAATTTGTGTTGTTGCTCTTTGCTAATTCCTGTGTAGCAGTTGGGGGAATGGCTAGCACTGGTAGTCACACACCTGTAACAGAGACAGCAGCAGTCAGCAAGAGTAGCTGTAGGGAAATAATTTGAGCATGAAGGGATAGATGTTTGCTACTGAGAAGTGTCTCCAGTACACCATACGCGTAAGCTTGTACCTGGAATTGGAAAAAATAACTGTGTGTGTCTGTCTGTCACAGGAAGCCCTCTCTGCACAGTTTGGCCAGGCCCCATGCGCTGCTCACCTACACATCCAGTTTACCCAGAACAGTGCTGTAGAGTGCCCCTCATTGCTGTCACAGTGCAGACACTTGCTGTGTTCTGTACAATTGGCATGTTGCAAAATACATTAGCACTTGAGGGTAAGTGAATTCCCTTCCAGCCAGGTTCTGCTTTGAAACTCATGCTTTTTAGCACTTCTGAAAAATACTTGGCTACATCGTTCTCTTGGCTCCCCTCCCTTCTCCAGGGTAGATCACAATACTTCAACAGAGCTGAAATAGCTGTAATTGGGCATAACATTGTGTCTAATGCTGTTTGCTAACGTGCTTGGATGTGACCTCTTCTAGTCAGGATAAGGCCACAGTGAGAATGAAGTTTAATATTGAAGTAGAATTGTACAAATTTAGAGAAGACAACCACTCTAGGTCATTTTGTCCTACGCTTTCATCCAGGCAGGACTGAATGTAACTGATTTCTATTCTTGAAAGGCTGCTTGACATTTCTGTCTTCTGCAGCGGTTAGACTCCGGTTTGTACTCGCCTGCTGATGCAACAGCTTTTGCTCAGTTTGAAAGCAACGGAAAGAATAGCGAGGAGTCCTTGATATGCATCTAAGCAATAACTTCCTCTTGCAAGCAAACCTTGCTGGCATAGGTCAGTACATCAGCACTCTGAACTGAGTCTTGTAGATGAGTAGTGTTTAAAATTCATACAGCTTTTAATATGCCCTGGGCCAGCCAATTTTCAATTACACCAATGCCTGCGCCTTCTCTTTGATGTGCAGTGGTTAACCCTTTTGATGAGCTCTCACCTGTGCCAGTGATGGTGTGTGCCTGCCAGGAGCAGATCAGTGTACACCGACACGCTTCCCAAGGCATGGAGCACTTGCACTCAGCTATTTCCTTTTTGTTACAGTTACTGTTTTAAATGTCATTAGTGAGGGGTGAAAGTATTGTTTTTCTGAGGGGGGTTGGTGGGATTTGTCACAGTCTAGGGCACGGCAAGGTGTTTTTTCTTCTATTCTTCTGCCATGTGTGAGTGATACTTGGGCATTTCCCCTTCCCCCTGAGAACCATCCAGCTGAGGGGAGCTGTCAGCTTCTTGCTGGGCACTGGCAGCAGCTGTTGGGCTGTGGGCATATTTATCTTCATGGGATGCCCCTGTCACTCTGTCTGTCCTGTTGCTTGCACTACATTGTATTTTTCCTTATTAAAAAGAGCTGTTGCATATTCTTCTAGGATCTGGTGTTGCCGCTGTTTGACAGTGTAAATAGTTAGAAGGGTCTGCAGAAAAGGCTGTCAGATGGGTTAAGCTAATGATCCCTTAGTTATGATCCCTAGCAATCTTGACTTTATTTGGCAGGAAAAGTAATTTAAGGAGTGAACTGCTTATTAAAATGACCTCTACCGCATGTGTCTGTGCTCAGTAATTGATACAGATTAGCCATGAGTTAGTGTAGCTTTTGATAATGGATTAATCTTGGAAAGCTGAAGACTTTTTTTTTTTTTTCCTTGGGAGCAGCAGAGAACAAGAGTCTATGGTTGTTGGAGGCTTCTGTGTCTGTCCTGTGCAACATCCCCTTACTACAGCTCCTTAAAGGGTGAGTGCGTTCAAAATCTCTGAAAGAGATATTGCACTCTGCAATGGTACATTTCAGCAGAAAATGCCTTCAGAGCAGGGACATGAAAACAACAGTTATAAGCACAAAGCAGCTGTGAGATTTAGAACTAACAGGTGATTAATTGCATTTTATTCTATATTGTACTTGGAAGAATGCCAGGGCAAGCATGCATACATTGTCCAAGGAGCTTGCAGCAGCAGTTGTGTATGTTAAGGGAACAGCCTTAAGATATTTCACTAATTCAGTTTCAGTGTTGATGTTCTCGGGAATGCATGCATGTACCAGCAGAGGGCATGCAGACTTCGTTCAACAGGGACATGTGCTAATTAATAAATCTCAGATGTAGGTAGGTGTCTACCTGCATCCACATTTGCAGACAAAGCGCTCATTCAGCCGTGCAGGAGCTGCCCACTCCAGCAGACTTGTATTATCTGAAACAGGCAGGAAGCGAGGGGGTATGAAGCACATGTTTGGAATTACATAATCCGTCATCAAACTGTGATCATGTTTCATGTTCATGCTTAGTCAGACTGTGGCAGTGATTAGGGTTGACTAAACAGTTACCGTACCTCATTTTTTCCATTGTGCGGCATCTGCTAGCTCTGTTGATCATTAAGGTCTCAATCTAGGCAAGTGACTTGTATTGTGGATCAGACCCACAATGAACCGGAGGAAATCAGGGGGAGAGAGTCAGCAGTTTTTACAATATATTAACAGAGGGTTATTGGGAAATGTGAACTTAAAAGGAAGGCTATCTGCATTTTAGAAACAAAATCAAAGATAAACAGTACAGCAGAATCTTCTGTTTTATCCTGCCCGATGCACTCGCAGTACATTCATAATCTTCATAAAGGAGAAAATTAATTGGTGAAATAGGCTGTTTTATGATAATATCCCATATGTTATCAGATTCATGCAGGCAGAATCACGCTAATGAAGAGAAATTGCAGTTTATGTAGGGCTTGCAGGCCTCGCTCAGGCAGATTAACAGTGGCTAGGGTAAGAGGCAGCACACTGCCTTGGCAGGCTGCCCGAGAGCTAATCAATGCAGATGGAGTCAAAGGGACTGCCAGTCTGATTCCCAACAGTTTCATCTCAGAACAGGAATGACTGCATCCATCAGTGCTCCTTGATAAGACATCCTTTAAGCTCGTGGTAAGAATGAACCCATTCGGGGAGGCAGAGGCTGAGCGATACTAAAAGCGATGACTCCACATGCGGTGCAGGGTAGAGGTGGGTGTTTAATTTTAGCTGCTGACCTGATTTCATGCTGAATGACAAGTATCTATAGGAATCCTCAAGGGCCAATCAGTTGCTATGTTAGTGAAGCTTTTGGAGAAATGCATTTAATTTTATACAAGTGGTGTCTTTAAGGAAGCAATTATGATTTCTGACTGCTTCAGGTTGATTTCGGCTAGAGCTAAGCTGAAATTCTTCCATGTTCCATGTTGATGAAACTGGAGTCTAACTCTGTTGTATACTTAACATGGCACACGCTAGTGTTTTGAAATGCCCTCTTTTTCCTATGTGGCATTCAATTTTTTCACCAACTGAGAAGTAAATGCAGTGCAGAACCAAAATGATCAAAGTCCTTTTGCCATTTGCATGCACATCCTGAAATGAAGTTTAGAAAATGAAGCAACTGTGGAGCCTCATCACTGAGGGAAGTCCTTTGCAGAGGGTTCTCCTTTGTGGCTTTGTACTTGAGGAAAGTGTACTTGTGTTGACCCAGGAGAGGGCTTTCGTTTTTCAAGAGGAAGGCTAGACAACGTCTCTCAGTCCACAGACTGAGTTGGAGAAAAAAAGTGAGAGTTGAGCCCACACAGGGGGCAGATGCTTCACTTTTCAAATGGTGATGAATCCTGGCCACTACGAGCATTAGTCATGGGATTATTTCCCTTGGTGTTGTGTGCTTCTAATCAAAAAGGAAGGCTGCTTTCAGCCAGGAGCTAAGCATCAAATTGTCTGCTATTATTCAATGTTTAAGTATGAAGCAGTGGGGCTTTTACTGCTGCTAATTTTGTGGCAGCATACTCAGTTGTTCTGTCCATACCCAATTCTGCTGCTGGTGTTGGCTTAAAGAAGTAGGGTTTGGATCCAGGTTTGGTTCATGCCCATCTTTCCATAGTCGTATTGATTGATCTAAAAATTTGTTTGAAGATCACTTTGCATTATTCCCCCTCTGCTTTTGACTTCAGTGAAAAATGCATGGGCCCAAATGCCAGGCGTTGTGGATGGCATTTGTTCTTCTTGTGGCTAGCTGCTGCCTGGAACCTCATCTGCACGTTTGTATTGGCTTTTTATTTGCAGTTGTTTCTGAATCTGTGCGGTGATTACTTTGTTGACAAATGTTTTTTCCCTTGAATAAGATACAGTGACGAGATGTTCTGAATGTCCCAGAAGGGCTCTGGCATTTGTCCTCGGGACAATGAAAAACACCCTGGCATTTTCTGCCTTCTGTGAATCTGCCTTTCATTTGTGTATTGTATGGATTCTTCTAAGGATACGGAAAGAAAAATGTTAAAATACGGTCATTCCAGGAAAAGTGACGGCTCAGAAAAGCCTTTTACTCAGCATACCTGCAGTTTTGGGGTATTGCAATTCATACTTATTTGCTTCAGTAAGTAAATGTGTTTTTTTTTTGTTTGTTTTTTTTTTTTTTTTTTAACCACAGTTTGAAGCTGACACAGCAAAAAGAGAAGGATAGGTTTGATTCCACTTGCTTTGTTTTGACTGAGTTCCCATCCCTTGCACCCATGCAAATGGTTTGAGGCTCTGAGGTTGCACGAACAATGCAGACAGTACAATAGAAGGACAATGGGGTTTTCACACGGGTATAGTGGGAGCTGTGGGATGTTTCCTCAACTGGTGATGTGTGGGGAGAAAAGTGCTTAATCTGTCTTCGGTTTGAGCTTGAGTCTGCAGGGCTGGCACCTAAGGGAGAGGAATATCCCTCTCCCTGTTGTTGGTGTGCTAACTAGTCTGGAAATGGAATCATGATTGAAATGCAGAGAAATGCGGCATCCTGGGATGCTAGGATTGGTCCATCTTCAGAAGGGGAAAGAAGCTCAACATTTTTTGTACTTTATATAATCTCTTAATCAGAGCTCTCATGAAACAAAAGCCTCCCAAAAGCATAAAAGCATCCTTTCTTTAACAGTTACGGTCCAAAAAAAAAAAAGAAAAAAAAAAAAAAGAAAAAGCCTCATCTAAGTAATGGACTTACTGAACCCACCCTGCTGCTGCAGCTGGCTACTAGGGACAAACCCACCCTTTTCCCCAGCGACAGTGATGTGCAGAAATCCACCCTCTACCTTTTTTTTTTTTTCCCCCTGCATCAAATTCTTAATTTTTGCAGCATGTGAGTCAACTTGTAAAAATGACTCACAAGCTCATTCCAGCCTTCTGAATTGGGAGCCCAATTAAAATACTACTTGTAATGCACATATTGAAGAGAGCGAAAAGTGTCTGCTCCTGTGTGTCAGGCATTAGCATAGCATATCTGAAGATCTGTCTTGAGCTAGTCTGGTACTTGCCAGCAGGAAACCTTGTGTTTAATTAATATATAAGTAACAAGAAAAATATATATTTTGAAAATCTACTACGTAAAAAATTATACAATGGAACTATAAATTTGATTAATTATAAATACATCAAAGTTGTTTTTTTTTTCCTTTAATTTGTTTATTTATTTATTTTAAATGACATTGTTGGATAGAATGTTTTATTTATAAAGCAGTGAAGAGGTTGTTTTTCTGCAGGGGTGCAGAGCCTGGCAATCAGTTTCTGCTGCTGCTGGTCTGATTGTTGAATACCCAATGTCTTCAGTTTAACTCCGTGCCACGTTGGGCAGGTGCTCCCTGTAGAACTGCGGGGCTGATTCTTAACAATACCAGTCTTTAGCCTTCAATGAACCCTTATATCAGGCCTGGCCAATCTTTCTGATGTTATCACCCATGTATCAAGATCCTCTCTGGAAGGTGATGTCATGGAAGAAACGGCAACAGCTGTACTGCAACACCAGGATGGAGTTTGGGTGCACTGTGGGTCCCCGAGTGGCTCAGTAGTGTCAGCCTCAGCTTTCCTGATGCATTTCTTTTCACAGGTGAGGACTCAGACAGTTGTGCTGCAGGTCATGTTAACGTAGTCCCAGCATCAGACTTGTATTTTGACTGGTGGTAAGTCCTGTGTAGTCCAAAACTACTACTCATCCCCACCAGCATTTCATCAGCAATCAGTTTTTTGCCAGCAGGCAAAAGGCTCCAGAGAGAGCATGCAGGGTCAAAAACATTTCATCCAAGCTTGACAGAGATGATGTCTGTGGTATTCACATGTAGCCCTTTAACTAACATTACTTCCTGTCATATATATCGCAGCCCTTTTAGCTTCAAGATATTTCTGTGCCATCGCAGTGAACCTTGGGCGAGGAGGTGAGATCTACAGCAAAAGGCAAGGCATCTGTCTAAGTGAAACACTCAAGGAAAAGGTGTTTGTGTGTGATTGCTGCCTGGTGTTAGCTCCTCTGTCCAGCCATGGCCCTCTATTTCAGAGGCTTTGTGTGGCTGATGCAGAAGAGAGGTCGTACCTAGGATTGGCACTTACCCAAATTCTCCTTCCTGCTTCCATACCACCAATTTATTCCATGAATTCGTTGCCCAGTTTACTGAATGGTGAGTATAAATTGCAAGGTCTGAAACCTGGTAGTACCACGATACCAACCTCCTCTTGTTGAGCAACAAAACCAGCCTCATGTTAAAGGGATTCACTGGCAAAACCGACTCCCTTAAATGAGAAATATTTAAATAAACATCTATTATTGTTATTGAAAGGAAGAAAATAAAAGCTGGTCACACATTGTGGAACTACATGCACAGAAATACATTTGTCTTCAAATGCAAGTCTCATAAATGTAGGAATGAAGCCTGGTCTTTGTCCTAGCAAAGCTCATACAAACCAAATGTGCACATGTTGTTACCGTTTATCAGTATGTAAATAACATATATGAATAATTGCCAGTAGGTGGTAGTGTGTGTTTTTCAGATAACTTTGTAAGCTAGAACTGCAAGTGTTTCATGTTTGAGGTGATTTAGGAAGATCCTGTCATCTTTAATGTATGATCTTAAAACATCATTGCTTTGAATTCAGTCCCTGATCTCACTGATTTAATAGTTCTGTTTCACAAACACCAGCACATCTCAGAGAGGTGTATTTTGATTTTTTTTCAAGTTTATGGACAGACCTGACTGGAAACATTTTGAAAACTGCCAATTAGTATAAGCCCTGAGAATTCAAATACGTGCATTCATTGGAATGACTGCATTGCTCCCTAGTGTTTCATTTTAGAAGGTGAGCTTTTGATAAATAAATACATTATTTTAATGATTTAGGAGTTTAGAATTTCTCTTCACAGAAGCTGTTCTGATAATTCCTGAAAGAGCTCACTGGAAAAGGAGCAGCACAGTCTTACTGGGCATCTACTTCTCTTCAGCGCCTCATCGTGCTTTGCAAAGACAGCAAAAAAGCGAGCAGCTGGGAGAGACCGGGGGGGTTTGGTGGCTTCTTGCTGGCAGTAATCTGTACCAAATCAATGGTGTTTCCCCAGCTCATCATGCAGGAAGAGATGCCCATCCTCCTGTGAGAGCAGTTCCTGAGACTCCTACGAGTATGTCCCAGGCTGGGTGTTCATCCTTCCTCAGGTAACAACCAAAGCACTCCTCATCCAGCTGGCCTCTTGCTGCCTTTGCTGTGTTTTTGGGAAGGGACTGGGTTTTTGTCTGGCGGAAGAAGGGGATGCCAGTGGTAAGGACTCTTTCTGTGGTGTTGCCTGCCAGGAAGCGAGGCAGAGCTTGGGAAAGGCTCTATAAATATTTCTGCAGTAACTCAAAGGCGGTTAGCGTTTTGGTTCATTTGTTTTTCCTGGGGTGTGTGAGATCGCTCTCCTCTGTGCAGGTGTCTGATTCACGTGGGGCTTCCTTTTTCTTTCTTTTCCTACTTATTTCCTGCCTCTGCAATTGTTGCTTGAACTTGCAGCACTTTTACTCAGCCCGGCACTCCCACTGAATGCTATCAGGCTATTTGTGCAAATGTTTTTCGTCATGAATATGGTCTGCAGAGTCAGACCTTTTGCTTCTTCCTTCTGCTTGTAACCTGTCCCTCCCAAGTTTCCTTTCTCATTGTTTTTCCTTTCACTTATGTCTGCCTGCTGTTGGAGCGAGCTCACAGAGAAGGAAGTGGGGGAGGGCTGCCTCTGCAGGGCTTTCAGTGTGAATAGCTGTGCAATTTATAATTTCACAGGCAGATCAGGCTCTTGTTGGCATGCGATCAGGCTGAGGGAGAACCACCCATTGCCAGGTGAAGTTAATGGGCTTGTGGCACCGAGGCCCACAAGCTATAGTGGAAGGAATGGCAGTGAAAGTAAGGGAGGAGTACTGGGGCCTACCCAAAGGCAGAATAAGCATCGACCAGAAGGGCTATGCCTTCTGTCAGAAAGCAATGCTTGTGTTTCCCATTTAAGAAATAAAATGCAATGTGATATAAATATGTGTTGGGGGTGATCCTGTGAGCTTAGGGCCTGTGTCCCCCCATGCAGCCCCATCTAATAGCTCCGGGACAGAGGTGAGGCGTAGCTAACCTTCCCTGTTTGCCTTCCTGTACTGTCTATCTATTGTTCTTAACCTCTTCCCTTGGGACCTAAATTGACTGTGCTGTGGATGGAATCTGATTTTGCTAAGAAATTACTCTTATTGACTGGAAATGGTATCAAGTTAGACATCCAAAGCCGGAGTCCATTCAAAGAACGCTGATCTTAGTATTTCTGTTCAGCTTTCTGTTTCAAATGGTAACTGTTAGAGGTAAACTCCAGTAAGAGATATTGGTGCTACGCTGATATGTGTCCCCACCAATACATAAAGGTGCCTGTCAGTATACTGATGACAGAAAATAGATGAGTGAGAGTGGGTTTCATGCTAGGAGATAGAATTTCTTGAGAAGTGTATACTACCGAAGGGAAGAATCTCAGGGATGGAAGCTTGTGGTATCATGTGGAAGGAAAGAAACCATGAACTCAGTAGCAGAGAAGGGTTACAGAAATGAGAACAGAGATATTAACTAAGCAAATGAAATCAGTGATGCTGGTTGTTTTGTGCTTTGTTTGTATAGAAACAAATAGTCCATCCTGGAGCAACCGTACCTTTGCTGGGTGGTGTTCTTAGTGCACTGGTAACATCGTGCTGGGTGGTGCTAGGTCTCAACACTCCTCTGAGATGTCTATTCAGAATTGAGGAGAAGAGTGGGAGGTAGCTTTCTCTAAGTGCACACGATATATAATCTGTGAATGAATACAAAGTGTGAGCTAGATAGGACGTTATTCCTGTAACAGGACCAACTCATCATCATTACAGAACTCTTAAAAAAAAAAAAAAAATTCCTTCTCAAACTAGATGTGAAATAGGGTTGCCCTCATAAATGTGCTTCATTTCATGCACACTCCCTTTGCTCCCTATAATTTTCCTTGAATATGGCTGAGCTGTCTTTGTTCTTGTCTACATAATCTCAGAGTGGGGGTAACACTAATGCTTTTCATCATCAGAACCCCAAAGTGCTCTTCTGGATTCTGTTCACCCTCTTGAGAGCAACCTCATCAGCTTTGACCGAACACCTTTGCTTCCCGTTGGAGACAGTGCAAGTTAAAAGTACAACTGAGGGTTTGGGTTCATTATCCAAAGTATAATTTTGATTGAGAGTTACTAAAAGGCAGTAAAAGTGGAAGCATAATATGCCTTTTTCAGAGTCCCTTCTCAGTGATTGTCATTTGAGGAATGAGGATGTTGAATTTGCCACGTTGCACAAAGTTATGGCAGCTGTTCCATATCGCTAGATTGGAAATTAAAATGGAGATCTATTCAAATTGTCTGACACTTCCAGCAAGCTTGAAAGCAATGCTTTAAAATATAACAGAACTCTAATTTGGGTCCTAAAAGATACTCAGTAACATTGAAAGCAAACTTCTTACTTTTTTCCAAATGGTCTTGAACTGCTTTTTTGTGTCTTTTCTTCTGCCTTGCTAAATTCTGCTTTCCACAACAGCCAAGTGATCCAGCTGAAGTCAACAGGATTCCTGAGGATGTCAAAGACCAAAACCTAGACTAGAACATTTTAGTAGGTCTAGTCTGTTATGACAATAAATATTTTCAGGAATGCTTAAACTATGCTAACCTTTAAAAAAAGAATGTTTCACATTTCTTTTTATTTCTTCATAAATGTGTGGTGCCTGAATCTTCTTAATAGTTTCTTCATCTAAAGATAAGACTGGATTTATCTGTATCTGTAGACAGTAATGCAATCTCTTAGTTTAGGAATTTGTAGAGGTCAGACTTTGCCTGTCAACACACAGTCAAACCTAACTTTTGATCCTAGTGCGGCTGCTTTAGTAACACTAACTTTATGAAGGCTAGAAAAACTCAGCTAGGAAACGAAGTTCTTTGAAACACACACAATGCCAGACCTGTGCTTTGGAACTCAAAGCAGAGTTTAGCCAGCTTGAGCTGTTGTCACCAGAAAATATTATTTAAATCTATGGATGTTTTTATCTCGTAATGCTTATTCCAAAGAAAGAATGCACTGTTGACAACTCTTAGCATTTGCTTTGTTGTCCTGTATATGCCAGTTCATCACTCATACTGAGCATTAATCACTGTGGTAAATGTAGCATTGTGATCTGTTCAGGAAATACTTGTCAAGGCTTTATAAAGGCACTCCATAAAAAATCAGACAGAAGTAGTCTATTTTTTTTTTCCTTGTGGGTGAAATTCACCTGCCCAGAGCTCAAATAAATACATGACAGACTCCTGCTAGCACAACTCCAGTCCCACTACTATCTGTTCGGTTTTGCTTCCCACACATCCTGTAATGACAAAGATAATCTTTTTTAAAATGCCATTTGCTTTTCAGGGTGGCACTGGAAACTATTAAGGACTCAATGGGCACTGGAAAGAGCAATGTGTTATTGATTAATCTGCCCTCTGAATGAACTCTGGTGGAGAGCAGTATTTCCAAAATTCTAGATGAAAGAATTTGTGTACAAATAATGGCAGGATGAGTGCTCTCTGGGATGATATGACTACATAAATAAGCAGTTCTTCAGTGCAGCATGTGGTTTTCTAATTTCCAGTAAAATGGAATGAATCACACATGACAACACCATTGCCACTAACCAGTGTGGCATGGCATCTGAGAAAGATAGCACTGGAAGGGTGTGAACTGGAGAGCAGATGATGGGGCTTGAAACATCTTGTTTGCTTTGGCAGCATAACCAAAATCTTGATGCTTTCCCACAATCTGCTCCAAGGATGTAGGTTTTTCTGTGCTGTATCAGATTATTACTCTGGGAATTTGTGTGTCCTGCCTTTGCCAATGGACAGCTCTTGATGCTTCAGATAAAGATAAATGCCCAGACTACCCACAGGGGAATTCCAAAGTTAGATGATGTTTCTTCATGTAGGGTTTACATTACTGCAGAATTACCAGGGGAGGTTTTCTCTCTCTCCCCTACCAAATCATAAAGGATACGTCTTCTCACAGGCAAACAAAGGTCCAAGACTGCTCTCGAGTCCAGGCTCACATACCATGCATATTAACTATATGTAAGTACATGCTCTGGTATGGGCCTTAGGCCGAGTTCACTCCTGAGGGGAAGTCTTAGCCATAGCCATGTCATAGCCCAGTCCCAAGCTTTTCCTCCACAAAGGTGGGGCCTGGGTGCCCCAAAGGTGGGGAGTAGGGTACACAGCAGCCCCCAGGGAGCAGCTCCAGCCACCTCCTCTTTCCCTGAGCACTGCCTGAGTGAAGAGAGCCCCGGGCAGGCCAAGAACCAGCGTTGCGGCCTGTGGGCCATGGCTTCACTGGCTGGAGCACTCTCTTTGTTTTATAAAGGTGGCAGCAGTCCTCAGGAGATCTGCTAAAGGTGAACAGACAGCAGTCCCTTTGACATCCCTGCAGTGCCAGTGCAGCTTCACAGGTGCAAAACTCCCTGTCCACCGCTGCTGCTGAGCCCAAAATCTGAGAAGAGATGATACTGAGTTTCAAAAGATGGGGGGCCAAAACCAACCCCTTCTTCTTCATTTCTGCTCTTGTGCCTCCTGAGCTGTGTATCAAATCTTCTGATGCCAGAACACAGGAAAAACTGAAACTTTTCCTGCAGCCTACCCCCAGCAAAACTGGATGCATCTGTTCAAAAGCACTGAAAATGACCTGGTGCACACTCTTAGACCCTGCAGCAGGGCGGTAAGGTTGTTGAGTTGGTGGTCATGAATGATGGGCTTTGTTGGATCTATTATATCAGAATGGCACCACACACTTTTTCCTTTGAGGGTTTCTCAAAATGAATACTTGTTAAAGGCGGGGTGGGAGAAGGACAAGAGTAATTCTTTTTCTCCTTCTGACACATTCCCAAACACAGCACTTGTGAGTGCTATATTTAGGCAGAGGTAATGATGATCTAGATGTCCAGCAGACATTTATTTCCATTTGTTTCTGTTGTTCCCCCCCATCAACGTGGTCCCTACTAAGGGCTCAGTAAGAGCAGTAGCGTAAGCTGCAGTTTAAAATGCCCTGTAGATGGAGATTTGCTGTGACAGAAATGCCTGTCGTCCTGGCAGTCTCTCACAGCTGCTGGAGGCAGAAGAGTATGTGAAACAATAACTCTGCCAGCAGATGTGGTTCTGTAGGGACAGTAGTGTCTGTGGTACGAAAATTCCCTCCCAAAATACAGATCTGTGGGGACAGTAAGCGTCTGTGTCAGGGACAACTTTGCAGCATCTGCTGGGACAGTAAAGTCTGTGATACATAAACACATCTCTGCATCTGCTGGGTCAGTCAGAGAGAGATGTATTGTATATGTCTGGTTTTAGATGTGCAAATCCCCTTCACTTTCCTTTAATCTGGGGAATTTGTTTGATTCTTCTTCCCACAGAGCAAATAAGAACCATCTGATGCAAAAGAGCTAGAGGTATTTGTGAGTCTTTTCCATGTAGGAGAGGCATTGCCACATTTCAGCTGCCAAGAAATACTGCTACATTCTCTCCTACCATAGTATTAATCATTAATGGCTTTGTTCTCAATGAACAGCCTGAGTATCTTCAATGATGCTCTTGTGAGTGCTAATGCTTTGTGGCTGCAGTGAGACCATCACATGAGAAATCTGTTTGTTTAGAGCAGCGATGCGCCACAAACACAGCATTCTGACTTAGACCATATTTCAAACATTTCTAAGTACAGGTGTATGCAGATAAAAAATTTTATTTTGGGCTCATCTCTAGTTTAGGCACCAGATGCAGGTTAGGAAGGATTGCACTGGAGACAGTCAATTTTCCAGCAGAAGCAACTCCATTCAGATGTCAGGGTATCTTGCTGCAACAAAGGCTGATGTTGACATTTTTCTTGGATAGAGACAGATGCAAGAGCTTCTGCCTCAAGGTTATCCATTATACAGTATATTAACTAGATGTTTTAACATTGTGCTTCCTGCAGAGACAGAAATGAATGATGATTAATACTTATCAATTAAAATCTAATCTTTTCCCATGTGTATTTATATGCTGAACTTCAACCTACAAGGCAATTCTGTGACAAGAATTAGATATTCTTTTATTGGAGAGCACTGGAATTATGGTCAGGGATATAATATTCATTCGTTTATTATGAATATTGCATTTGTGCCTAGAGTTTGCCTAGGCATTTTATATAAACAATCTCTTACAAAGGAGTTCATAAACGATTAGCATTAAAGGACAATTGTTTTATCTTTCTTATAACAGCGCTAAGACTGGAGAGGTAGAGGAAGCAAAGGTTATACATGTTTTATGACCATAATTATAATTAACTATTTCAGAGATGAAAGTAAATTAAAATGTAATTATAATGTACTATTTCAGAGACTAAAACTGATGAATAAAACTCAGTTGTGACCTATCTCACAAATCTATGGCTTATCCAGCTCAGTCTAAACATAAAAACATAAAATCTTTTTATATATCTTTTTTTTTTAATTATTATTAAATCTAGCTGTTCAATAGACAGTGCCCACACGTGTGATAGGTGCTTTAGACTTGAGACGCCAGTGCTGTGTCGTAGGCTGAACACTGGCCCAAGGGCCCTGGTAACAAAGAGCTCCAATCCTGCAGCCGCGTGCACAGGAGAGCTCCGCTGGGAGGCCTGCATGCAGAGCAGCTGGGAAGGCTGGCCTCTAAATATGCGACGGGAGAGCAAAGGAAAGGCAGAACGGGTTTTCAGATTTGAACTCTGGTCGGCTCGACTGTTGAACGCCATTTAGCTCAGATATACAGTGCAATAACCTTTGTTCTTAAGCGAGAGGCAGAATGGAGCTCTGAATGAAAGAGGCCACTTAGACTCCAGGTGAAGGGTTTTAAAGTGAACAAGTGATCCGGCTGGTTACTTCTGATTTATTATAAAGGCATCTTTATGCATTTTGAATTGCCTTCCATCAGTCATGTCAAACAAAACTGCATTCTTATAAGGCACTTCATCCCCTACAAACATGCACACTCTAATCACTGATGTCAAACTAATAGCAAATGTGTATGAAGAAAGTATAGCCTGCTATGACTATTGCAAAAATCTTTTTCATTTTAATGTACTAGAAACAAGCATTTTAGTGAAGTCATTAGCAGCTGACATAAATTTACATTACAGTATCAATATTTTTGAAGCCTGATTGTGACTGCTAAAGGTCTGAGATTCATTCTGGATTGGGGCAAAATTGCTTTTCACAAGTTGTCCCAGAAGATCTTTGTTTTAAAAAAAATATATTTTTTTTCAAATGAATTTTGTAACAGGGAGAGGTGTAGAATTACAGGTATGAAAGTACACATGGGGAAGCATCAGCATCACCTCCCTGTTTGTATTTATTGACGTGACAGTCCATATCACAAGGGAAAAAGGCACTTCTGCATCTTCCTTACCCCTGAGCCTGCTTCCATCTCAGAGAGGCATCACAAAGCCTCTCACTAATCTATCTCCATTTTATTTCTTGTAGTCTATTAACACACCTATGCTGTTTTGAGAGAGCTCTCCCCACCCTTCATCAAAAACCACCCCAAATGCTTGGAATGAGTGGCATGAAAATAATAAACATTTTCAGCTGCCTTTCAGATTCTGGATGAATTGTTTGTAAACATCTTGTCTCGAACCATCAAGAGGCGGAGCTAACATCACTGAAAGATGATAAATTCCGACACGGCGCTCCGAGATTTCACGGCCACTGAATGTAGGTTAATATGGGATTCAATAGGAAATCTGGCTTTTGTGTTGTTACATATTATGAAGGAACTTGTCATTTATTTGCAGATTGCTAATTGCTGCTTATTGCACATGCAAGAGGTTAATTTGGGTATGTTATGACAGTAATCATATGCACCATCTTAAAACATATATACTCATAATCTGATTGATAATGTGTCCTGTGGGATTGGGACATTATTTTGTGAGATTATGGTGAAGAAGAACTTCATGGTAAATGCTGTAACAGTAGGCAGTAGTGTCCTTGAGTGCAGGCATGTGAGATAGAGTAGACTCACGAGTCTGGTATGAAATACCTTTTTCCTTGCCCCTTAATTTAGTCATTCCCTGAGATGTGTGATTTATTCTTTGTGATGATACATTGAAAACAGAGGCCCCATCTATTCTAAATGAAAATGATATCCTATTCTTATTATTGTTAATGCTTTGTATTCAGAGTAGCATTTAAAGGCCTCGGATTAATTCATGACCTCTTCATGCTCAGAGCTGTATGTACACACACAGTAAGCGCACTGCCCCAAAGACCTTACACTTTAATTAAATAAAGGTTGGAGGAAGGAAGTTTTATTACCTCTGCCACAAATGGGAAATGATAAGAGAGAGAAACTAAAAGGACTGAGAATTACACTCCTCCTGCAATAAGTCCTGTATTTGCCTGTAATATATCCTCCCTTCCTGCTTTTGTTAAGCTTCTGTAAATTGGTAGATGGTTGGTCTCTTCCCCAGAGATGGAGCTTACTATAATTCTGCATAATTTTCAAGGTTGTATGGGATGAAAGGACTTACAGATAGATAACCCTTTAATTTATATCTGATCAAGTTACTCTGAAGAAATATTTCTGTGGAGTAAGTTCATGCATATGAATCTCGCGTGCATTGCTTTTTGCCACGTGAGCATCCTACTGCTTAGATTCTGTATTCCCAGTGGTGTGTGCAGTTGGTGTGTGCATGTTTTAAGGTATGTCAGTATAACTTTTCAGTTCTTGTTGTTATCTCCTGTAGTTAGGTCTTAAAAGTTTTCAAAATTATTAAAAAAAAAAAAAAAAAGGCAATATTCCTCAAGATGCTGGACTATTCCATAGGATTCATAGGAGACTTAAAACACCAGTGCACACTTAGTCTCCTAGAAATGCATCTCCTTCTCCCCTCCCGGGAATCTTATTCTATAGAAAGGGATGAAATTAATTTTAAACATTTTTAATTAGAGCTTCCAGCTTAACATCAAAAAATAAAGCTAGATCAGTACAGATCTTGCTTTGAGAATAAAATTTTCCCTGTAGAGGAACATGAGCCTGAAGATAACTTGTTTTCCTTTTACTTGTAGTCAGCACATGGATGCTCAGCATAGTGATCTTGGGCAGAAACCCTGACAGTTTTGGATATGATGGGAAGTGGGGGAGAAAAAAACAAAACAAACAAACAAACACAAGGAACAGGTAAAATCCAAGCACACCCAACCACTATCTTTATATCACACCCAACCACTATCTTTGTATTTTAGTATTTCTGCCAGACACTGCTGTGTGTCAACAACAGCAATCATCTATAGTGACGTGTCTCTGCCTCACGGGTACAGTCCCCTCATTTCTGTCTTGTCCTGCCCCTGCTTGGGAAATGAGAACAGTTATTTTCTTGCAGATTTTGGATTCCCTGAGTTAAAAAAAAACTCCAGAGAAGCAAAATTCTTTTTGAAATGTATTTAATAAAGAACATTATTTCTGTTGCTGTCAAAGGTTGTGTCTGCCTTTTTTTTTTTTTTTTTTTCAAATGCTTAGAACAGTAAAAGGCCTTCACGATCCTTATCCATTTATAAATAATCTCTCATTTTTCCCCCTAGAACCTGTCACTGCTGGAACTAAAGTGTAAATTTGTAAATTATGCCATCTTTTAAATATGAAACAGTTGAGGGGACAGCCTCAGCACTTAAGAAAGCACATGCCTGGTGTATATGCCCGTGCTAGCAAACAAGCCACGGGAGCTTTGTTATAAAACATGCAAACATCCTGAGGAAGTGGCAGTCATTTGCCATAAACACGGCGTGTAAACAATTACCTGCAACTCGTTACACTCGTTTGTACAGGCAGCTGGCTAAACACATCCCTGTGTGCTTGTAAAGGGCTGTCCCCGCCGAACGTGAGACTGGCAGGCAATTAGGTGGGGGCTGCCTTCTCCCGAGGCTTCTGCCCATGGCAAGTTGGCAAGGTCTATGTAAATGGGGGGACAGTAGGGCCAGATGATCCTGGGGGTCTTTTCCACCCTTAATGATTTTAGGATTCATAGAATATCACAGAATGACAGAATTTTAAGTAGGGGTGCTCGTGGATATGTGGGGGGAAAGGCGGAGAAATTCAGTGTGCTGGTTGGGGGCACTTTGGTGACAACACTGAGGACTCTCCCAGCGGGTGGCAGGCTGGATTTGGGGACGGGACACTTGCCGAGAAGGCCATTTATTGTTTGTGGGGGCACAGGGTCCCAAATGAGGGGACAGCAAGCGGGCAGCCCCTCACACAGGCTGAGGGGGGCCGGGCCGGGGGGGGGCGAGGCCTCGGGCCCGGCTGAGGGCGGCGCAGTGCGCATGGCGCGGGGGAGGGGCGCGCAGGCGCCCGGCGGCGGGGGCGGGCGGGGCCGGGAGCGGGGCCGGCGGTGCCGGTGCCTCGGGGCGGCTCTGCCGGTGCCGGCCGGGGGCTGGCGGCCGCCGCCCGGTAGCACGGGGCAGCCCGCTCCGAGATGGGAAGGCGAAGCGCGGAGCCCCCGGCACACCCTCAAGGGTGGAAAAAAAAATTAAAAAAATACAAAAAAAAATAAAAATAGAAAATGTATTTAGAAAAAAATAAAAATAATATTAGAGAGGAAAAAAAAAAAAAAAACACGAAAAGCCCCGGCCGGGCTCAGCGCGGGGCCGCGCGCGCCCGGGGAGGGGCGGGGAGGGGAAGGGGGGGGGGCGCGGCGCCCCGGCATTGTTCGGCGCGCGGCAACAAAGAGCGGCGCGCGGCCGGGGGGCGGGGCCGGGGGCGGGGCCGGCCAATGGGAGCGCGCGGCGATGGCGGCGGCGCGCCCCAGCCTTCCCCTCCCCGCCTGCCCCCTCCCCTCCCCGGCTGCCTCCCAGCCTCCAGCCTCCCTCCTGCCTCCCTCCCTCCCTCCCTCCCTCCTCCCTCCCCGGCTGCCTCCGCCCGCCTCTCCAGAGCCGTCTGGCTGCAGCGGTGCCTCAGACAGAGGAGGGGAGAGGAGGAAAAAACGCTGAGTGAGTGGAGTGGAGCCTGGGAGGGGCTCCTTAAAGAAACGCTGCCATCGCTTGGCATTGTGGCCGGCGAGGAACTCAAGGGGGGGAAGCCATCGGAGCTCCTCTCGCTCTCCGCTGCCCACCCCCACCCCACCCCCCCACCCCCGGCCGAGGGGGGGAAAAGAAAAAAAAGAAAAAAAGGAAAAAAAAAAAAAAAAAGAAAAAGCCTCGAGGGGGGAGTCGTGTGGGGGGGGTCCTGAAACCATCTTATAAACCGGATTGCACTGAGAGGAGGAAAAACAAAACAAAACAAAAAACCCCACCGCCGCCACCACTACCACCACCACCACCAACAAAAAAAAATCAACAAAACAACAACAAAAAAAGGAAAGATACAAAATATACAAGCAAAAGGCAACAGCTCCCCGGTCTCCAGCAGTCGCCCACCTCCCTTCCTTCTCTGCTGCTGGCCATCTGCCTCGGGTTTTCCTTTGTGTCTGATCTCTTACTACTGAGCCGGGTGCAGGAGGAGGGTGCAGCGCACGCAGGGACCATGCCCAGCTCGCTCTTTGCAGACATGGAGAGGAACGGGAGCGGCGGCGGCGGCGGTGGCGGCGGCGGCGGCGGGGGAGAGACGCTGGATGACCAAAGAGCCCTGCAGATCGCCCTGGATCAGCTCTCCCTGCTGGGGCTGGACAACGACGAGACGGGCTCCATTTACGACAGCGAGCCTCGGAAAAAGAGCGTGAACATGACCGAGTGCGTGCCGGTGCCCAGCTCGGAGCACGTCGCCGAGATAGTGGGCAGACAAGGTGGGTACCGCGGGGCGCGGCGCCGGCTCCCCCAGACAAAGAAAGTGCGGCCGTGGGGCTGCCGAGCGGCGCCGGGCAGCGCTTCCCAGGGGCGCTGCGAGCTGCCGGCACACGGACAAAGCAGGAAAAGGATTTTTCTAAAAAATCTCGCCGCTCTTCTGGCTGCAAAAGTTAGATTTGCAAGAGGAAAAGGGGGGGAAAACGCGAGCCCCGGAGCTCTTTTTTTTTTTTTTTTTTCCCCCGAAGTTGGAAATCGTGGGGTGTTTTTAAGGACGAGGAATGGAGTGGGGAAGTGGAACAATGGGATTGGGATAAAGCATCCGCATAGGGGAATGTGGCTCATTCAGTGCAGCCGCTGCTCCTCACCTTCCGCAGAACCGATTTTATTTTATTTTTTATTTTTTACGAAAGGAAAGTGCTGAGCAGGAATGCAGACTGGCGCGTGCGGTGATTTGTTGGGGCTGCTCGCGTTTCATTTTTATTTTATTTTATTTTATTTCATTTTTCTGGCCGTGCAGTTTTCCCGCACGCTGCTTTTCCTCCGTTGTTGCCGTTCCTCTGAGCTGCACGTTGGTAGTTTTGGGGCAGTTGCATGGCAGATGCGGCGCTGGCCACTTGCGATGCCTTTGGGCGTGTGCCAGGGCTGGGGCTGGCATCCCTCAGCGCCCTGACCGGGGCTCCTGGACGAGCTGCCAGCCATCACCTGGGGCAGGGGGCAATGTGTTTCGGGTGGGTGTGTATTCCCCCCCCCCCCCCCTCCAGCTGCACCCAACTAATGGGTTGTAACCGGTTCTCTCCCCCCCTTCCTTCCCCTCCCCTTTGCCTGCCATCTCCCGCATCTCGTTCCCAGGTTGTAAAATCAAAGCTCTGCGGGCAAAGACCAACACCTACATCAAGACCCCGGTTCGCGGGGAGGAGCCGCTCTTTGTTGTGACGGGCAGAAAGGAAGATGTGGCCATGGCCCGCAGGGAGATCATCTCGGCGGCCGAGCATTTCTCCATGATCCGAGCCTCACGGAACAAGAACACAGCCCTGAACGGCACCGTTCCCGGCCCCCCGAACTTGCCCGGCCAAACCACCATCCAGGTGCGGGTGCCTTATCGCGTGGTGGGCTTGGTCGTGGGGCCCAAGGGGGCCACAATCAAGCGCATCCAGCAGCAGACGCACACCTACATCGTGACCCCCAGCCGGGACAAGGAGCCGGTCTTTGAGGTGACGGGCATGCCCGAGAATGTGGACCGGGCCCGGGAGGAGATCGAGGCACACATCGCCATGCGCACCGGCGGCATCATCGAGCTGACGGACGAGAACGACTTCCACGCCAACGGCACGGACGTGGGCTTCGAGCTGAACGGCACGGGCAGCCTCTGGAGCAAGCCCACACCGCCCAGCATCACGCCCACACCGGGCCGCAAACCCTTCTGCAACTACCGCAACGACAGCTCCAGCTCGCTGGGCAGTGCCTCCACCGACTCCTACTTCGGCAGTGGCACGGCGGGGGGCAGCGGCGCCCGCTTGGCTGACTACAGCCCCCCGAGCCCCGCGCTGAGCTTCACCCACAATGGCAACAACAACAACAACAGCAGCGGCGGCAGCGCCAACGGCTACGTGTACGGCGGGGGCGGCGGGGACGTGCTCTCCTCCCCGGACTGCTGCTCCGAGCTGCCCTTCGACTCGCCGCCCGGCTTTGACCTGGCCCCCGCCCCGCCGCCGGGGGCCACCCTCATCTGGCCGCAGTTCGAGCGTGGCCCTGCGGCCGCGCCGCCCTCACCGGCGCCCTCGCCCGCAGCCGCCGCCGCCTTCCCGGGCGCGACGCCCGCCAATGCCAACCTGGCGCTGCTGGTGAGCGGCCCGAGGCGGGGCGGCGGCGCTGCTCCGCCCCCGGCACGGCTCTCCCCGCCCCTACATGGCCCGGTGGCGGCGGCTGCGGTGGCCGGGCCCGAGCACCCACTGGCACGGAGGGTGCGTAGCGACCCGGGTGGGCGGCTGCTGGCCGCCTCGTACCCGTTGTACGCCAATGGGCTGGGCTCCCACCTGCCGGGGCTGCCCTCCGACTCGTCGGCCTCCTCCTCGTCGTCGTCCAGCTCGTCGTCCAGCTCGTCGTGCTCATCGTCCGGCGTGCGGCGGAAGGGCAGCCGCGACTGCTCGGTGTGTTTCGAGAGCGAGGTGATCGCGGCGCTGGTGCCCTGCGGCCACAACCTCTTCTGCATGGAGTGCGCCAACCGCATCTGCGAGAAGACGGAGCCGCAGTGCCCTGTGTGCCACAGCGCCGTCACCCAGGCCATCCGCATCTTCTCCTGAGCGTGACCGGGCCGAGGGTTGCTGGGGGTGCTGGTGGTGGTGGTGTGGGGGTGCTGGTGGTTGGGGTGCTGGTGGTGGGGGTGCTGGTGGCGACCGCGGGTGCATGCTATAAATAATAACGGGCGACTCCATTCTAGTGCTAGGCTAGTTTTTACACTGTACTTTAATACGAAGCTTCCAACCCCCCCCCTTTTTTAAAAAAATAAGAAAAAACAGAAACAAAAACAAAAAAAAAAATTGAAAGTAGGAGATGCTTATGATGATGACAATGGTGTGTGGACTGTTAGTAAAACGTGCTGGTAGTTCCTAGGATGCTTATTACGAAATAATTAAATCTATGGGTGGATACTTTTCTGAATGTTCTTGAAAGGGCAAGAAGTTCCTGTGAAAACCATGATACTGCAGCTTTATCAAAGTTAAAAAAAAAAAAAAAAAGAAAAAAAAAACAAACTGTAACATATCTCTTATATATATTAAAACGTTTAAAGGTTTTAAAGATAAATTGCATTAATACAGATTGAAGTATTTTATTCTTTTTTGACTTGAAAAATTATATTTCATATTGCAAAGATGTTTACAAGTATTTTAATTTAAGTTCAGTGAACTTTTTGTAGCTGGGTTAAATCTTTTTTATTTTAGTATGGCCTTATGGCAAAGAACACTGTATTATTTTAATATCACACAATTGTGAACGGAATTACAAACCATAAAATGTGTAATGCTTTGAACAGTATTCTGTTGGGATGGAGATTTTATAGGTTCAGAAAAAAATCTTTTAAATCTGCTTCACCCAGCATATTTTCTATTCAGTGATATAAAGCATATTTTATTCTATATTATTACAAAAATGGAAATGTATAAACATATGTCAAAAGGAACTGTTGAAGCTTTCTAACATTTGTATAAATAGAATTCAGTGGAAATTACAAAAATTCTGTTGCACCACTATAGTTTTAGTATTTCTATTTTAATACATTTGTTTACCACTTGTTTATGTATATGTAGGTGACGTTACTTGAGCTTAAATGTACTTTACTGAGCAAAGTTTAAAAACAAAGTATATTTTATTTTATGATAAAGGGCCTTTAACCTCATGGTCAAATACTAATATTATATTTGCTGAGACAAGATTTGAAATTGTATCAAGAGTTTTATTTTTCTGACATTTAAAGTTCTACATAATAAAAGTAAAACTTAAGTAATGGTGCTACTTCATGTTTTTTTAAGTATTTCTATATAAATAAAATAAAATATTACAGAAAAAAATACACCGTGTGGTGATTTGATTTGATTTGATGTGCTGAGAGTTTCTGTTGGAATTTTTGTTCCCCGCTTGTAACACTCAGGCATGTTTAGAGTTTGAACTGTGTCATGTTCATGTTGCTGGAACCCTTCAGCTCGTGAAGGCTCCCAGGATAATCCTTCCAGCAATAATATCATAAAAGATGGTTTTAAGGAATTTTAATATTATATATTTTTTTTCATATAGGTTGCATACCTCTTTTGTAATTCCATATGTAAAATTACTCTTCCTTAAGAATTTTTATTCCTGAAAAATAGCCTGCTTCATATGCATTGGTACTTTTAACAAATAGAGTATATGTAAGAAAAAAAAAAAAAAAAAGCCTGCAGCTTTCTTAGATTTGTGTTCTGCAAGCAGAGAACAGGGGAGGGTCCTTTGTTGTAATGCGCTGGCAGAGGGCTGAACCCTGCCGGTCCTTGCTCTGTCTTTCCACAGGGTTTCAGACTCGCATCCCAGACTGAGTGTTTTCTAGAGCAGAACAAGGGCTTTTGTGTCTTCCCTGAGTTCTTGAAATTGCTTCTTGGTATTTGGCAGTTGTGGTTCAGATAATTGGTGTTGACAAGCTTATTTGAATAAAAAATGTATTGCTGTGTAAAGTTTGTTTGCTTTTGATGATGCCCACACTGGTATTGGGGAGAAGGAAGTACAGAAGCTTTCTGACTAATGAGTCGTCAAACCCACCAGGCAAACACTGCAGTATTTTTGTTGCTGATTGTAGTCAACGTGTTTAAGTGAACTTGCTGGATAAAGCGTGTTAGAGCAGATTTCAGAAGGTAGCTGCGGATCATTTTAAATGTTTGTTTTTGAACGTGCCAGTGCACTTTTCAGCGGGCTAGCGAAAACAACAAAACAAACCCAAACTGTGTAGCACATTTCATATGTTTTACTTTGTACTTAGCTGTGTATGCCAGAGCTGCTCTGCTCTGATCTCTTTTATGGAATCCAGAGCTGCTTGTTGGGTGGGAAGGGGAGGAGGGAGGATGCGGCAGGGGATGATGGGATCTCTTTGTTTGATTTGATTTGATTTTTGCTTCTTTCATTTAACTGTGATTGTGGTATCAGCTGAGTTACGGAGTTAAAATTCCTCAGTGAAGTGTCGCGTTTGTCTCAGAAAGCTTGTCATTTTGAATGGTGAACAAAAAAAATGCTACAATGCCGTGGAAAGGAGTCCAGGGAGTGGCAGAGGTGATACAGTTAAATGCAGGAGTGGCACTGGTATCAGAAAAGCCTTGGCTAAATTGGTTACTTTAAAGGGGTCAGGAAGTTTAAGTCCAAGTGTGTATGTTCTTAATGACGGGTGTTTAGAAATTGACTCAAAACGCGTCAATCAATTTCTTGTTTCAACGTAAACATCCTGTACTGGTGTCTGGGAAAAGTTGTGAAAATGGCTATAAATAAGAGTAAATTTGATCGCTTTGCTTGATCTCCCAGGCTCAGTGACACCGAAAGGTAAATAGGATGAACAGTGAAAATTAAATTCTCCTTTTTCTTTTCCTTAATGTACTATGCCGCGTGACTTGATGGTATTAATGACAGTGGCTGAGAAGACCGAGGGTAGCCGTGGCACCTCTAATGAGCAGCCCTTGCGTGGTGGTTGCAAAGGCCCCGACCTTGGTGGTGTGGCACGGCCTGGTTCAGCGCGCTCACCAGCCTTCACTGCTCCCCTCTTCGTTGAGTGTTGCCAGCCTCGTCGCCTGTGCTTGTCCTGCAGGACTTATTTTCTTCAACAAACTGTGGGTAAAAATGAAGCAGTGACCTCTCTGCCCGTGCCCCTGGCCCTCTTTTTGGCCTCCTGGTGCCGTTGGGCCCCACTGCTCCTGTTCCTCGTGCGTATTGTTTTGAGGAGGGAAGATGACCTGCTTGGACTCCTGTGGTGCCTTACAAAAACTGATCATGCTCATTCCTCGTCAGCAATTATTTCACCCACAGAGGGACTGGTCTGGATTGTTCATGCTTTGGCATCTGATGAGCCAGTCCTCAAATGCTGCCAGCAGCAGAAGCTGCGGAGCCAAACCCTTCCCACCTGGTGTTGGCACAGCCAGCAGTGCCCACCTGAAGCTCCTCCACCATCAGCCTTGGGCAGGGTACATTTGATGGAGGGCATTTCCCTGGTGTGCCAGCATGTGCCGTCTATTACATTCCTCTTCTTGTTGCTTACATGCAGCACTGTGTAAAATCCATTGTCTTTTGTTGGTAGAGACCAATGTCCCTCAGCACAGCCAGTATGGGAGGAACACATAGGCTGTGCATGTGTGCTGCCCTTCAGCTGCACATCCTGGGCCAGATTTATGCTGTAAGTCAGTGGCTCAGATTGTGAGGGCTATAAATCAGTGCAGAATTTGTCTGAGGGTCTGGGGCCATATGCTGTGTGTGAGGGGTGCCCACATGACCGGAGAATACAGGCCTGTGTTTGGCACAGGAGTATTTCAAAGCCTGAGAAAGGGGCAAAGTTCAGGTTCTAATTGAGTGCTGTGAAATACATACATGTGTATGGTCAATGTTTGTCTTCTGGAACAAAGATCACTTTGTCTTCCAGAAGTATGTGCCTTGGTGATGAACACAGTAGGAGGGGGTCTTCACCAGAGGCTCCTCAGAAGTCTGGAAGGACTCAGGCTGTGAGCACCCCACTGCGCCCCAGTACTTCTGGCAGGCATCAGGCCGAGCTTGTGCACTTGGTGTTGTTCTGTCTGCACAAATGTAAGGGTATGGTTCCCAGGGTGTATACACACTGTTATCACAGAAAGGGATACGTTTACAGTTGGGAGAATTATTATATACAAAGCCCTAAGTTTAATTATTCCTCTGTCCATATCTTGTACTCCACATAATTTGCATTACAATCAGACATCAAAGCTGGAGCCATTTAGTAGGAGAAAGGTCTTTTTACTATATTATTTTGTTGCCAAATAAATTATAATGATCAATTTAATGTAAATTTACTCTTTAGATTTATATTTTTTGGCAAATCAATGAAAACAAGACTTAAAAGGAAATGTTAAAGTTGGTAGTAAGAATCTAGTTCAGTAAGGTATTTTAATTAGATTGATTTTTGTTTGATGTTTCTTACACCTCTTTCCCAGCCCCCCTCTTACCCTTTTTTAATTTTTCTCCTCTTTTCCATTTTCCTTGTCTTACCATTCTGGAAATTGAAATTATGCTTTGCTGTCAATGAAGTGAATGGGAATTCTGCCACTGGAGAGGATGAGAGGATGCTGGTGAGTATTGCATTTAATCAATCTAGAAATAGCAAAAAGTAATTATTCACCCTGCCTCTGCTTATTTGTGTTTCCTGTACTCATTGTCTTTCCAGTAGAGATGCTTTAATTAAAGAACAAAGACAATTTTAAAGCCAATGTGGCAAAGGGGTGTTTCAGCCTGTATAAGCATTTGAATTTCTGGTTTACCTATTTATGACTGCCTACCTGGCAAATGTCAAAGGGGCTGGGCTTGCAGGTAGGTAAGGACTCTATCCAATGGTGAGGGATGTGAGAAGATGCACATCTCTACTGCATTTGCTTTCTTTCTTCTCAGTGTAAACATATGTACACACATATATATATGACTGTATATTCAATATATACCTGTGTACATTGAAATCAGCTTAAAATCCTCCAGAAAAGTATGGATCAGAAAGGCTTTCCTTTTTCAGTGCATAAGTGTTAACAGAAACTCACTGTAATACTAGAAGAAGTGTTATTGTAGTTTTATTACTTAATATCAAGGCTTTTAATGAGGCTTTCACAGTTGGCTATGTAAAATAATTACATTGCATCCAATTTCTAAGTTTGATTAAAATGTAAAAAGGTTATTCTGGCTTAGTTTTAGTGAATTTGGTTGCATTGTGATGTGTTATATAGTGATGAAGCTGTATCAAAAACAGTAAAGCTTCTGGTATACAGAGTATTCTTTAATGTTATCTGTACAAGTGTAGCATGTGCAACTCTGTGTCATAGATATAAACACAGATGCAAGTAAAATGTTGTGAGTACAATGTAGCCCTGATCTTTTAAGATGTATGTAGCTGTGACAAATAGCTGCTCTTGTATCACATTGAATTTGTGGCCTTAAAGAGTATCAGGTGGGGTCATGGCATCTGAAACTGTCTCTGTCCATTCTGGACTGAATTCTGAGTTTTTGCCTCCATGAAACCACCAGCAGAACTAACAATTGATCTCCCCATGAGCTGAACTCTGGCCAATAAGGCTTCTTTCAGTATAGAATCTTATCAACATATAATGCACAGATGATATTTCTCACTGTTGTGAGTTTGTTATTTTATTTATTTATGTTGTTGTTATTGTTTTGGTAGGAAGGTTATTGTTATTTCTTTTATAACAAGTTATAGCCCTCCACTATTAAGTTGATTATTAGTGAAAAAATCAGTCAGTTAAATACACTCATACTAAACGCACCTTATACCTGTGGCAGTACAAGTGTGATTGATTAGCTGTCTCCAGACATTTATAGACTTTTATAAGATTGCACTGAGAAGTGGCCTTGTTAGTTTTAAATGGAGAGAAAAAAAAGAGATTTTTGATGTTCCTCATTACTGTTTTTCCACTTGTGATGGACGTAAAATACAGTAAAGTGCTTTTCCCTCTCATGTTTAAGGGCTCTTCTGCCTTTCATATCAGGCAGAATTGGTTGGCCCACTTTACATTAGTATGAATGGCAATTGCCTTGTAAATTTGACTGTCATGAATGGCTGAATAGTCTGCTGTCTCTTGTTTTGTCCTTTGTCTTTATGTTTTATTCACTTATACCCTCTACAAAAGAGCCTTAATTTAAACCTGAGAAAGTAGTGGCAATGCGCCCGTTCATTGTAGATCTAGTGGCAGGTTTTATTTGGTTTTGATGTTCTTTATATTTTGATGGTTGTACTAAACAGTAGAAGCTATTTTAATCAAAAGAAGATTTCAATGAGAGCATGACCCACAAATAGTGTTTTTGCTAGAGTCATAAAAGTTTCTGTTACACATTTGGAATTGTTTCCACTATTTAGCTGCAATGGGCAAATAACTTGTGCCACTTTAAGAGTTAGAAAAAAAGGAGTGTTTTTCAGGATCTTTAGTTCTGCTACAGAGTCATTGTATCATCTTGGCTAATTAATTTCACCTTTTATATGCTTCAGTATTTCCATCTGTGAATGAACTAATGACACCTACTTAAAGGCAGCATTGTGAAGATTAATTAATTGACATTATTGAAGTATCCTGAGGTGGAAATTCTGATGTAAGTACAAAATATTGTTACTGATACTTCCTAATTAATCAGCTCACAGTAGCCAGCATGTGGTAATCATATTGGTCTAGAGCAAACAAACACAGAACTGGATTATATTTGAAATCTGTGGTTCACTCTCTCTCTCTCTCGTTTCTGTTTTTACATGTTAAAGGAACAATCTTATGCACCAAGTGTAAGTCTTTCTTCTTTCCACGGCACTTACAGGTACAGTGGGTGGGATGAAGGAGTAATATATGTCACACATATAGGCCTGATAGGCTGTGCTGTGGTTATGGAAAGGCAACTTTGAATAGCAGTTTTCTTGCCTCCATTGGAATAGCATCACTAATACTTGAAAATCTTGTGCCCTTTTTTTAATGGAAATGAAAATGTTAGCATTATAGAGAAACATGTAGAACTGATATAGTATCCCTATGGATGTGAGTGGATATTACTGAATGGAGCTTTTCTTGCATGAAGGAGAAAGAGAGGAATGATTTCTTCCTTCATAAAGAATTGGAAGGGAGTAGATGTTGTGAATTGTTTGTAATTTGTATGGATAATAAGATCTATTCTTAACACTCATGTCTATGTTGCAGTTTGCATAATGATATGATTGCAGCTGTGCAGGACTTAGACCATGTATTTTAAAATGGTAAGAATAGCTGGAAACCGTGGAATGTGTATGAACTTTGTTTTAATCAAATAATATGGAATCTATACCTACTTTTTCATAATGTTGAATGTACAGCAGGCAAAAAGGTGAATGCAGTTGCTGCATGTGTTGCTTTCCAGAGACCAATCACATTCCTAAATGACACAATACTTTTTGTTGTTGAAAATGTAAGTCACAAGATATTGTTTTGGAATTATTTGCAATTGTTGCACAAGTGCAAGAGGGAGGTTTTAAGCTTCACAAACATTCTTATTTCTTTCTCCTTATGTCATTTCTTAAAAAAAAATAAATAAATCAATCACATGCAATTATGAAACTACTTTATGTTTGACGCAGTTTAAGATGTTTTCAGGCCACAAAAATGTAACGTTCTATGAGTAATTTGAATTAAAAGCCCACTCCAGCAGAAATTGTCCTCAGTCTTTGGAGTCACATGGTTCTTGGAAAGCTCTTTCTTGGCCGTGCAGGAAGTCAACCTTTTAAAGGGAGAGTCTGTGCACAAATGTGCAGCTCTGTTAATGAGAGGAATTTCACACTTCTCACTCAGCCATAAGCTCTGTGTTCATCATGCTGACTGCTGCCTCAACAGTGTTTTAGTATTAGGCTGGATGGATGGACCATTACTGAGCCGGAGCAGCAAAACAACATAACTCTAGCTGAAGAGATGGTTTCTAGAATTTAGGGTCACCCACTCTGTAAAAGTAAATTTAAAAAAAAAGTTTTAAGTAGGGTCTTCTCTTTGTCTGCAAGTATCTCTCTGTTATATGGCTGTCTTTCCTTTCCCCAGTGGTGATTTTTCAAGTCAAATGGCCCTTTCATCACCACTGTGGCTTTGCAGTGAAGTTGTCTGTCGCTAATAGCAGGCTTCACTTCTTCCCCAGCTAGCTGGTAGTCAGACAGGCAAAGAATGGCCTATCCAAAATTAGGATATGCTCAATGCACTATCCACTGCTGTTGTTCCCATAAGCCTAATTATATGACTTTTGGGTCAGACAATGTCTCATTGTGTGGCCCTTGGCAGCTACAGGATGCCTAATGCTGCATGAATGTCTAATGTGGAGTTTGATGGCTATGACCGAGGCTGCTGTTCCACGGTGGAATTGAAAACATCCGTGTAGTTTCCATAGAAAACCAGGTCAATGGTACTTCCATAAAGTTTTAGCCCCAGGGAAAGCCCTCGGTTGCATGTTGCCTGTACAAATCCATGCAGGGTGAGTAGCATAAGGTGCATTTCTCTTTCAGGTAAATGACACTTAAGGAGTCAGATCGATTTAGTCTTCAGTGACCTATTTCAGAATCCTTCTCCAGACGTTAAAGTACTTATTGCAAGTACCATCCCTCATCCATTTATCTCTATCTTTTCTATTTTGTGCATTTAGGAACACTTGTGGGGTATCTCATGAACACCACATGTGCAATGAATATGGTTTTGTATCTGTATGTTAAAAAATCATTTTATGTTTTCTTTGATTGTAAAATTTTAGGTAGAACTATCCTATCTTTATAACATTTCCTGTAAAATCTTGCCTTTTTTTTACAGGCAAAAGCAAGGTATGAATGTAAAAGAGAATTCATTGTAGATGAAAGCTGTAATATGCTTGTTCATTTCAAAGGAGAATGTATAACTAATTACATTTTAATTAAATCTCTAACGTCAACAGATGTTTTTAAGGGATCTTTTTAAGCTACATTTATTTTTAGTATTGTTTAAGATCCTCTTTCTTTGTATGCATTTCACTTCATGCATTATTGCCTTTTTAAAAGTTTTCCCTCTTTTAAAGTATCAGCTACTGCTGGCATATATTCAAGGCTAAGCACTGGTAAAATTAGTTGTTTGTTGTTTTTTTTTTTTTAAGATGTTGGCTGTTACTTTTCTAAATAGAGAGCAAAAAGATGTGAAAGCACCAAAATGCCATTTGTTCTCTTTTCCTTCCAAAAGTAAAAGGTTACGATTCCATACCCCAAATCGCAGAGGCCAGTTTTCAGCTGACAGGAGTTTATGCTGTATATCTGTTATCAGTTCCTTTATAGTACAGCTCTTAATTACAGTGATAACACAACTATGTCCTCAGACTGCGATCCATGCTGATTTCATCTGTTCCCCCTAAATCAACAGCAGCATCAGTGAATAGCCTTTACTTAATTTGTAGAGGGGGAAAAATATCTAAGCTCTTTTCATATGAAAAAATGTAACCAAATTTAGGGTTTCCATGTATCAGAGCTTTATCCTGTTGACTTTCTTGGAACTTGTGTTAGTCCACAATGCTTCACATGTCATTGTTGCTTCTTAGTGTTCTTTGTCATTTCCAACCTGCATCCTCCAGAAGGTAAAACAAGTCTTAGCTCAACCTGTAGAAAGAATATTGAAAAGTTTTTGGTGGGAATTACCAGAGCCTGCTGCCTCCCAGTTGCTGCCTGACTTTGAGGTGAGCTCTGTGTCAGGCATTAGGGTCAGAGCCACACTAGCGATCTCTGCGCCTGCCCTACTGAGACCCATACCCCTTGCTCACAGTCTGTTCTGAGGGGATGCAGCTTTCCCTTGCACCTCTTCAATGACATCTGAGTGCATCTGGCAGCACTAGCTTGGTTCTGAGGAGGAAGGAATCCACTGCCTGCTGTTGTGCAGTTCCCTATGGTTGGTCTGAGCATCTCCAGGACCCTCTAGTAACACTGTCTCAGCCCTGGTCAAATCATTTAGAGGGATCTTCCCAACCTGTGAAGAAGTTAAAATATCCACCATTTCTCTCTGCTGTGATCAGAGGGGTGTCATTCACATAGCAGTAGAATTGCACATATCCTATGTCTTGCTGATTGCTAACAGCTATTTCCCTGGAGTCAGTGGACTTCCTGTAGTTGTGGGACCAACCCACACTAAAGATACCCTCTGTAATCTCCTCTGCTCCCAGTATCACCTCTCCTCTTGCTGAGCCTCGTGTTTTTGCATGATTCAGAGCGCTTAAAGCACTCTAGAAATGGAGAGAATTATTTGAGAGATGATTACTGTATTGCTGTGCAGAAATACGTAGCTAGTATCCGTTTACTATCTAAGCCCTAATTTTCTGTAAACATCAAAACTCAGTAATCATGAGAGCCGTGTGTCTGGAAGGTAGCTACATTACAGATCGGAATGACAATGTATTTGCTAAAATTGCACAAGCAATAAGTAAGAATTCATTATCTCTTTCATGAAACTAGCCAAGAGGCTCAGAAAGACTTGACATCTGAGGCTAAGATAACAATTGATGTAGTGGTGGTAAAATGACAGCAAATCAGAAAAACTGGTCAATCTTCCAGATAGCACTCTAAATGCACGGTATTTATGTTTCTCACTAATAAATGGAGATTTGTGAGACCCATGCTTTGTGAGAGCGGAATTGACCCCTTTTGTTTCACTGTTAAATTTTTCTTTTCTCCTTATAAGTGGGCTGGATCTAATTTTGATCTCAGGCAAGCATAAATCACAGTTCAAACTGCTGACATGACTGTAATTGCACATATCTGAAGTCAGTGTATTTGAGAGAAAAGCAGACCTGTTTGGTCAGATTCCTCAGAGGGGGGATCTCTGAAAGCAGAGCAAATTCACACAAGTGATAGGAGTTGTTCTACGCTGCTGTAAATGAAAGCTGGATCTGACCAGCTTAGCTTGATGGCTTGAATAGTATCTTTTATGAGATATGCCACAGCAATATCTACAGCAAAAAATGTCTTTTGTTTCAACAGTGTCAAGCAATCAGAAATACCGAGATGTGTGGCATTTCTTCAGGGTGGTGAAGGGCACAGTTTTCTCCACTTCTGACAGGTGGGTCAGCCATTCTTGGAACAGCAGACAGCTCAAAGTGTGTCAATGGGGTAAGTGCCAAAGTGTGTTAATGGGGTAACTGCCAAAAAATGACCCTGAGGGCATTCCCAACATTTCCAAGAATATCATACCAATAAAACCACTTCTTATGGTCATGTGGGACACACATAGATCAGAGTTAGAGTTGGGATAGCAGTTATACCATGTGATGTGAATAAATTGCCATCTCTCTTCTCTCAGTTTAGTCACTTATTAAACTGGGAAATAGTCTTGGCGTGCTGTATGAGGGTACTGGGAAGACAACTTAGCTTCAGCGAAAGGTGTGCTTAAAATTCTGCATTGGAGAGCATAATAGAGGTGTGAAGTATCTTATGTTAGACACTGTGGAATTAGCAAGCATGGCTAATCCTTAGCATTCAACAATAATTTCTCTATACTGGGACAGAAATAACAGAACCAATAAGAAAAGTGCAGTGGCTAGACCAATGGCAGCTGCAATAAAACAACATTTTGATTTGTTAGTCTCTCAGAACTTTGCGTAATGTGCTACTATTTCTTCTTGTTAGAGCTGATTGAATCACATAAAACTGAATTCCAGTAGCTGAATAGCTACACGGCATTGTATTAGGAGACATACCAATCACTCTAGGATTGCTTTCCTGATGTCAACAGCAGCTACTGCATACCAACATCAGCAGTGTACCAGAGAGACTCTTCTATATGTCTGGAAAACTGCATGACAATTTGTGCAAAATGAGCATATCTTGCATGCTGGGTTATTGAAAAGTCGAGCGACTTGACTTATGTTATTTTTAATAATATTTACTAGCAGACTCTATTTATTGGCTTTTAGATATACTGTCATGTTGGATTACCATTCCTATCAGGTAGCAATTGCAAAATTCTTTTCTTTAGTTTTCCCAGGTAACGCTTTAATTTAGCAGAGTCATGTAGAAAGATCCTGTATTTTTTTATCTGACCTCTCTCCTACCTCTCACCTCTCAGGTCATGGTAGTTTACAGACAAGCAGCAGCAGATGAATTGTGAAGAGATAGTGAGGATTTTCATGATGCACTGAAGCATTCAGAATTTTAAAAACCCGGGTGAACTCTAAGCTGCCCGAGTCAACGTGAGCTTTGTTACTGACCTCAGTGAACTCAGGACTTCACTGTCGTGTACGTTTGCTGCCTATAAGGCAGGTAAATACTTCTTTGCGTGTGTGATCTCTTACTAAGGCTTCACAAAGCAGATATGTTCTCTGTAGCAGATACTTGGGGAATGTGTGTTGTCTCTCTCCAGTCAGGAACATGCTTTTCCTGTTGCAAAGTCTCTGGATGTAACATCAAGAGCTGGAAGAGAGTGGATTTGTGACCTTTGAAGAAGCTCCTCCAGATTCTTTTTGTTTCTCTTTAGTGTGATACGCCACTATTTATTTTATTTTATTTTATTTTATTTTATTTTATTTTATTTTATTTTATTTTATTTTGCCATTTGCTTCTTTCTTTCAAGCACTTAGAACCTGTTTTTGCTCTTGCTGGAGGGTGTAAGTTTTCATTTCAGCATTTTACTGGATTTTGTTGTTCTGTTGCAGAAGTCAAGCTCTCTCCCAGCATCTCCTCTTTTCATTAGGCTGTGGCAGGTCTTTCTTACGCTGATGAACTTATTAAAAACTTAGTTATCTATTAATTTCTTCTTCACTATCTCGGGGTATTTGCCTGGACTTTGAAATGATCAGTCACACCTTTTCATGTTGCCTTGCTTTTTTTTGTTCTCTTGTGTCACCATGGAAAGCCATGGAGGAGGTACAGGACTCACTTTTGGAAACTGATGTTTCCAACCCATTTATTTGTATGATTTTTATTTTTTTTCTAGATGATTTTTTTTTCTGATTTTCTAAATTAAAACTGCTAACATGAAGACTCAAGGGTCTTGCTTTTTTTTGCCTTATTTTTTTGCTGAAATATGGCAAAACCTTTATATTTGCAGACTTCACTGAATAACCTTTATAATCTTTTTTTTTTTTTTTTTTTCTTCCTCATTTCTGTGGGAATGTCTACAAAAACTTGTTCATTCTCAATTGCTGCATTTTTATACCTGCCTTATTTTGTCTTTTGCTACTTAGGACCCTCTTAAATTAACTTATTTTTGGAACAAATAAAATTAACATATTACAATAGGGCTCATTGACCTCCTAGGGCTGGAGGTCTGGCTGCTCTATTTCCTAGCTCCTGTAGCTGAGAGAGCCCTGGGAAATGGAAGAGAGGAGATTGCTCTGGCATCTGGAAGTGACCCTGCCCAGCACTGTCCTAAGGTGCTGGCTCTTGCAGCAGGGTGTACAAGGCCTTTCATTTCACACAGCCCCCCCAGCTGTGTTCTGGCAGGAAGGTAATACACAGGCTGTATCTGCCCTTGGTCCACGAGAGACCCTAGCAGGAGGGGATAATGTGCGTGCACACCTGTCCTGGAGAAGGGAGAATACGCATGACTAGTTTTGCATAGTGGGGAGGAGCTTGCAAAACAGCTGCCTCCCAGTAGGGATGCCCGGGGTGAAAGGATGGTTCAATGTGAGAATTTTGCTTCAGGTTGTGTTACCCTGCAAGGTTTTGGTGTTAATCTTGACTGAGTGAGATAGAGCTGATTTAAAGAGCCATCTGGGAGAAACTGGCTCCAAGCCGCAGCCCACTACACATCCTTTTAAAGCATTCTACTTGAAGACTGGAGATGTAAATAGCGTATTGCTACAGCCCTCAGAGACCAGACTGGAGTGTGTGCAGGACCAAAGGGGCTGAAGGGATTTCTCCTCCTTTGCTATGTTACTTAAACAACAGAAAGCCAGGAATTAGAGATTTCAATGGGAAACAGCAAATAAAACTGGAGAGGAAAGGCCCAAACACAGATAACCATGGAGCTTCCTTAAGGCAAGCAGGTATCTGAGCATGTAGAGCAATTGCACACATAAACCAAGAAGTGAAAGATAGGGAAGACAAGTAGGTAAATAAAGGTTCTGAATCAAGAAGTTCCATACAGAGGTTTATTTCAGGAAAATGAGTATTTGCAATCTCCTGGGTCATCTGCTAGTTCCTATGTACAGGTGCTGCTAAATGTTTTAAATTCAAATAGTTTAATTTTGAGGGAAAATCTACTGGTAGAAACCAGTCTGGAAAGACTCTTCATGCAAATGCGAAAGAGGGAGGCTTCCTTTAGAAGCACAAATTTAACAGACATTGCAAAACAGGAAGAATGCAGGTATTCTGAGAAAGTAGCACAGAGGGAAAACCAAGTGTCTGGTAGAGATAGGGAAAGGGCCTTTTATAGAGAAGTCACACCAACGTGGTGACTGCACTGAAAAATACTAGTAGTGCCCTCTGAAAGCTGCTTGGTTATTGGAATAGGGGAAATTTCCTATTAAATCAGTCAGTGCTCTAGATGGAACAAAAATAGGCAATTTCCATGATGTAAGTTTAATTTGTTTTTATTTTTCTCTTTCTCTTTTAGCAGAAAATTTGCTTTTGTTTCTGAAGAGAATGAATATGAGGCAACACTGGGGCATGGTGAGGTTATATTTTCACGAATGCCCTGATCATTAATAAGGGGCTGTTCACAGTGCAGGTTATCACCTGGTAATATAAATTTGATCTGAATCAAGAGACACTGCACAATCACACTCCTGTCAAATTAGCTAGGATGAATGATGCAAAGTTTATGCAGCTTTATGTTTTCAGATTAGCTTTATGCTTGCAGTGGGAGGATGGCTGACAGTGAGCCAGACGAGGTTAGAAGCTGATCTGGCATAAAGTTTCCCAGTACAGAGTTACCCCATTAGACTTTTTGAAACAAATTTGCAAAGGCAAAGTGAATTTACATCAGCTCAGTGCTTTCCATGCAGTGGTCACAACATTGTGTGATACCATAAAACAGATTTAATTTCTCCTCAGGTTGCCCTCACAGCTCCGTGAGACTCAGTTTTCCAAGGTGCAGGATCCCAGCAGCCCCAGGCTGAGCAGGGCAGGCGTTCTGCATGCTGAGTGGCAGCCTGGCAGGTACTGTAAGTGCATGTGAGGGGTGTGGACTGATTGTGGCTGTGTGTGGAGAACCTCAAATTGCACTTACAACTTAATTGTGGGCAAGTGATTGGTTTGGGGTTCTCTTTTTTACATAACAGTACACAAGTTAATTCTGAAAAGAAAACTGCAGATGTTTTCAGCACAACAAGCTGGAGAAGAATGATCTCACCTGAAATGGTACGTTAATATCTGAGTTGGTGTTAAAGTTGGTTTTGTTCCGTGGAACCAACTGTTAAAATCACTGCTGACTTCCATACTGACCTTAAAAGCTTCCTCTAGCCAGCTCTGTCGCTAGCCTGTGCCTCCTCCCAGAAACCTCTGGATATGAAGTGAGTCTGAAAGGGGCTCCTCCTTCTCCCCACCTCCTTTCTCCACCTTACACATTCATACTGCCCTTTTCTCCATCCCAGCCCTCATACTCTTCAGCTGTATTTGCCTGCTAATAGTTAATGCTGCAACATACATACGGTAACAAGGCAACCAAATGAACCTCATGAGTCAAATGCTAATGGGAAAGTGATGGTCACACAAATATTTGTGGACAGGGGCCAGATAGAAGGAGGCTGGCATGTGGCATGCTTACAGGGTGAGTGACTCTTCTTTGGTTTCACTGATATAATTCACTTGAATGATGCCTCTCCAGGGCCTGGTCCATCAAAGGTACTTGTTTGACTGCTGTTTGTCACTCACTTCAAGCCTGGAACCAGTATCAGCACACTTTAAGACAATTTAGAACAAACTGAGAAGCCAGAAATATTGATGCGAGATTTTAAAACCGGAGTGTGACACAGATGTCGCATTTCTCTGTGGTTTCTGCCTTCAGTGCTCTGTCAGCCAGGATTTGAAGGAGGGTGTGAGCACTGTGGTCACCTACTGCTGTAGCCAGGGATGGTGAAGTCCATGTGAAAAGCAGTTATTCTAGAACTACTTCTGACGTGATTTCTTCATTGTTCATGCTTCATTACAGATAGGAGTAACTCTGAACAGCTGGCTTTGTGATCTGTTACCGCAGCTTTGGTCAAACTGTTCCATATGTAGATTTGTTAAAAGATATTTAACACTTTTTTATTATTATTTTTATTTATTATTTATTTTTTTTTAAGCAGTGACTGCAAGAGAAGTTTCTCCTTGTGGTTCCTCATGGGAAGAATTACCTGCATTTCTGTTTGTCACATAGTTGATCTTGCTTGAAGCTAAAAAGGGGAAATCTTTGGAAAGAAGACAACTATTTAGAGGTGTCAGTCTTTTTTCTTGGTTAGATGAAATCGGGGAGCCTTTCTGATGACTGCTTTCGCTTGCTTTTGTCATCTTCACATCACAAGAGAAAGTTGCAAGGCAAGGAATTGGTAGAGCAGGACTTGGCCATGTGTTTTCATAGTACAGGGTGGTATTGGCTTGCAAATTGTCTGTTCCTCCTGGAAGAATATAGTGATCTTCGACGACAATAGCTGAATCATACAGAAGCCAACTTCCACCCATCTGCTGAGTAGTGCCTTGCTCCAGTGGAGCTCTTCTGCTTATTTCTTGGAGTCAAACTGACATAGTAAAGCTTGCAGAATTTGCCTCTGAAAGAAAACTTGCTGATCTGAACTGATCACA